TCTTGAGGTGACAAAGGCATGAGTGACCGTGACTAAAGCCTCCCGGTCCAAATAAGGCTGCAACTGGTGCACCAGGCGAACCTGGGCAAAGGTCCCCCTGGCCACAGCCGATAGATGTTGTTCCAAATTTAGCTGGGAGTCCAGGAGGACACCCAAGTTGCGTGCCTGCACTGAGGGAGGTAAATTTGCTCCCCCCCAGAACTAATGATGGACCATCCAGTTTGAAGGCAAGACCCAGAGCCACTTGGTCTTGTCAGGGTTGAGTCTAAGCCTGTTCACCCCCATCCAGACCCTCACATCTTCCAGGCACTGGCACATCATGTCGACTGCTTCACTGAAAGGACACGGGGTGGAGATATATAATTGGGTATCATCCGCATACTGATGATACCTCACCCCGTGTCGCTGAATGATCTCACCCAGCGGTTTCATGTAGATGTTAAAAAGGAGGGGGGACAGGACCGAGCCCTGAGGCACCCCATGATCGAGGCGCCTAGGGGTCGATCTCTGTCCACCCGCCAACACCGACTGCGACCTGTCAGAGAGGTAGGAGGAGAACCACCGCAATACGGTGCCGCCCACCCCCACCTCTCCGAGACGACGCAGAAGGATACCATGGTCGATGGTATCGAAAGCCGCTGAGAGGTCAAGAAGCACCAGGATAGAGGAATGACCCCTATCCCGGGCTCGCCAGAGGTCATTGGTCAGTGCGACCAAAGCAGTCTCAGTGCTGTAGCCAGGCCTGAAACCAGATTGAAAAGGGTCCAGATAATTAGTTACATCCAAGGATCGCAAGAGTTGGGATGCCACCACCTTCTCTACAACCTTCCCCACAAAGGGGAGGTTGGAGACAGGACGAAAGTTCTTCAAAACAGTTGGGTCCAGGGAAGGCTTCTTGAGGAGGGGCCTCACCACTGCTTCCTTTAAAGGTTGCGGGAAAGACTCCTCCATCAAGGAGGCGTTGATTATCGCCTGGAGCCAGCCTCGTGTCACCTCCCTACTGGCAGAAACCAGCCAGGAGGGGCACGGGTCCAATAAACAGGTGGCGGCATTCATTGCCCTCACGGCCTTGTCCACTTCATCAGGGGTCACAGGCTCAAACTCGCTCCAGATAACATGACTAAGACCAGCCCCCGGCAACTCGGCTGGCACTGCCCAATTGGAGTCCAGGTCTCTCTGAATCTGAGCAATTTTGTCTGAAAGAAACTGAACAAACTCCTCAGCTCTCCCCTGCAAGGCTTCCTCTGCCTCCTCCACTTTAAGAAGGGAGCGGGTCACCCTAAACAAGGCGGCCGGGCGAGATTCTGTGGACGCAAAAAGTGCAGAAAAATGAACACACTTTGCCACCCTTATCGCCACTAAATAAGTCCTAAGATAGGCTGTTAATAGTGATCGGTCAGATTCAGAGTTACTGGCCCTCCAACGTTGCTCTAGATGTCTCTTGTGGCGCTTCATCTCCCGGAGCTCCTCAGTAAACCAAGGCGCCCTCCAGGGACCACCACCACAGAGAGGTCGCAAAGGCGCAATTCGATCCAGGGCCCCGGATGCCGCCTCATTCCAGGCCGCAACCAGGGACCCGGACAAGTTGTGGACAAGGGAGTCAGGTATTTCCCCAAGCTCCTCCTGGAACCGATCTGGGTCCATTAGGCGCCTGGGGCGGAACCACCTAGTCGGCTCCCTCTCCCTGCGATGGGGGAGTGATGCTCTGAAGTCCAGCCTCAATAGGAAATGATCTGTCCATGACAAGGGCGAGATCTCTATTCCCCTTAATTCCAGATCATGTCTCCATTGCCCCGAGAGAAACACAAGGTCGAGTGTGTGTCCACCCCTATGAGTCGGATCCTGAATTACCTGGGTCAGGTCCATGGTTGCCATGGAAGCCATGAACTCTTGCGCCGCCTCTGAGCGATCGCCGAGTGATGGTAGGTTAAAGTCCCCCAGTACCATAAGTCTGGGGAACTCCACCGCCAACCCGGCTACTGACTCCAGCAACGCAGGCAGGGCTGTTGCAACGCAGCTGGGTAGGTACGTCAGCAGCAAGCCCAACTGAACCCGTGAACCCAACTTCAATAGGAGGGACTCACACCCAACAACCTCCAGGACAGGAATCCCACGAGGACTCAAGGACTTGCGAGCGATGACTGCCACTCCCCCACTCCTGCCCTGATGTCGAGGCTGATGAAGCACCACAAACCCGTCCGGGCACATCTCCGAGAGGGAAACACCCCCCTCAGGGTCCAGCCAGGTTTTGGTTATACATGCCAGGTCCGCCCCGCTGTCCAATATTAAATCACGGACAAGGGGGGCTTTGTTGACAACGGACCTGGCATTAAGCAACAGCAGCCTACAACTAGGGCCCTGTACTCCCCTGTCACCAGTACTACAGGATGAGCCTTTTGAGGGGCCGGAACAAGGAATCGCTCTAATATAGCGAGTCCTCGTTCCCCAAAGATGGCCTGCCCCTCGGCTCCCGCCATATCTGCCCATCCCCGTCATAACCGGGATGCTCCGACCTTCTCCCCTCCCCGGAGTACCCCCACCCTCACCAGCCTTCTCCCTTCCTGACCGGACTAGCTTTCCATACAGACCAAGCCCAAGGGTAAGTCCTGCCCCCCCTACTTTTGCTATTGCACTCAGCAGAGGGGGTACAAGGCTCCGCCCCCGATTCCACCATTCTCATACCCCAAACACTCAGTACACATTCACACTCAATTTATATACATAAAAATATTCACATTCATACGTCCAAAATACAATAATAAAATTTATACATAACAGGGCCACCATTCATCTACATACATACACATACCCACAACAAACATTCTCTAAAAAATATTGCCCCTCTGTGTCCCAGGCTGGTCCAATGTGGCCGGCTAGGTGATCATTAGGTACTTGTCTTGGGGCAGCCCGTACTTGGCCTTATGCTCCTCAAAGAGCTGGGTCAACTTCTCCAAGTACCTCTCGTGCAGCTCATCAATGGCTTCTCCGGACATCCAACAATTGTGTAAAGTCAACCTAGCCACAGCGGGACTGTAATTCGTCTTCTTCTACGGGGTGCCAGTGTAGGCCGGCTCCTCCAGCCTGCTCGACAGCCTCCCCAAGGGCCCGTTCCCCAACGCTGGCCCACTGCTTTCCCCGGCGGGACCCAGCAACAGCGTACAATTGAAGCTGAAGGTGCTGGCCATCACCGCAACGGCGGCGGCGACGGTTGCCGCCGGGGCAGCAGGCGAAGTCACGTGGGGAGCCCAGGTCACCAGAGAAGGCCCCGCCGCGGAGCCCGAGGAAAACGATGAGGCGGCGGCGGCGATGATGGCGGAGAAAAAGGAAAAGCCGCGCGCGGGGCAGCGAGGGTCAGCTGAGCGCCGGGCCGGATTGCCCAGGCGGGCGGCTGCGGCGAGGCCTGCCACCGCGGGGGAGGCTGCGGCTGCTGGTGGGGCAGGCCGGCACTCTCCAGTGGCAGAAAGTCGGGTCGTGGGTCGCCGCCACATGGGACGTGGGACATGCCGGGCGGCGGGGACGAGGCGGCGGCGGCCTCCAGGCACAATGAGGCGGCCAAGGCGGCGGATGAAAAAGTCGAGGAGGAGGCCGAGGAGGAGGCCGGGGCGGCGGGCTGGTGATCTCTTGGGCTAGATGTGCCCAAGAGATCACCAGCTCGCCGCCCCGGCCTCCTCGGCCTCGACTTTTTTGTCCGCCGCCTCGGCCGCCTCGTTGTGCCTGGAGGCCACCGCCGCCCAAATGCTGGTGCTGGTGATCTCTTGGGCTAGATGTGCCCAAGAGATCACCAGCATTTGAGCTCAGTTTGAAGAAGCTGTCTTTTTTTTTTTACAAAAGCAAAGACAGACAAACCTTGTCTAGCAACCACAATTGGGACCAGTAATGCAGTTGTTAAGCAAAGTGGTGACTAAGTGAAACCACAATTGTACTTAAAATCTTACTTCAGCTTTCTTTTGCTTTCAGATCTGTTAAGGTCATGAATGCAAGAATTGCTATAAAGTTACTTTTCAATCACCGTCGTAACTGCAAATGGTTGCAAAGTGAAACCTACCTGGAATTGACCTGCTCCTCACTATAAGGAGCTATAGAGCTCCCCCAAACCAACTGGGCCTTAATGGCCCCAAATACCAGAAATATTAATTGACAAGAATTGTAAAAGGGGGCATATCATTGACATCGTTTGGGAGAAGGATGCATCAATCTAAAGTTGGCAAAACAACTCTGAGCAGAAAGTAAATAATGCAATTTGTGGTTAGAGCTTTGACAGTATCTGTTCCATTAGATTGTTGAACTGTGATAAAGGATTTAAACAAATTCTCTTACATTGCAGTCTATTACATATTTGACAGAAAAAAATAAGGCTTGCTTCTTACAGACTTATAAAGCGGCATCATTTATCTTCTACAAAGATTAGAGCAAAATTATTTGATTGTAAGCACATCTGCATCTCTGTGTCTGATTAAATCCAACACAGTTGAATTTTTTATAGAATTCAGAAAAAGATCTAAAAACAGCACACTATCTTCAAGGAAGGAACTGAAGAGTTAAATGCTATATCACAACAATCACAATAATTTCAGCAAGAACGTCTGATTACATCATAATCTGTCAATTCTACAACAAACCTGGCTGCAGCCCTTTTGCTCATTCTAGGTTGCACAATAATGGGAGGGGATGCAGGGGATTTTTACTAGTCTAAACATTTTTTTGTCTCGTGGGAACCAAGGTCATTTCTGTCAGTTAGGTGGGGATCTGAGCTTTTGGTTAGAAAGCCTGCCAAGCTATTCTACTGGGGAACATAGCTGATTGCATGGTATTGGGGTGGGAAGTTGAACTTTGTAATATTGTTTCATTTTGCAGGGAATTTCAGACTTGGTTTCACTTCTGACCTTGCTGACACTATGTAACCAATAAACATGTTCTTTGAGGAAGTTTCAAGCCTTGGAATTCTGATTTGTTTGGTCTTGTTTAGCGGAACCTTGACACTGTAAACACCAACTACTCTAAAACTTGAAAAAGAGTTTATTTAATATGCAATTGTTTTTTTAAAGACACCACCATCAGTTGAAATGCTGCTACCTACAGTCCATCCATCAAGATATGTTAAAATTCATATATGCTATGGCTTCAAATAAAATATAAAAGCAATTTTAGGTAAGAACAAATTCTGCTTGGGAATGGGTGGCAATGGATACATAATAGATATTTTGATAAGGAAATAAACTATTAAGAAACATGTTCTTGGTCAATAAACCTTACAAGTGTGTTACTTGCTTGCTTTTCCTGCAAGCAAGCATAAGGAACAGAACTAAAATATTGCATACTCATACTACATTATCATGTAAAAATTAATCTCTCCAAATTACTGTTGGAGAAAAAGGTTGAATATGTATCATTCATACGCAGACACAAATACACACAAATATGAAATTATTCTCTTAGGTTTAGTGCTTTGTAGAGATATTATGTAAACCTTTACATCACGCTCTGTAAAGTTGACCAGCATTTCTATAGTGAAAATAACGGCAAGAGCTATGCAAAGGCTGATGCCCAATGATGGCATCTCTAGGGCAACCTAAGGAATTAACAATAGAAGCAAATTCTGAACCATACATTTCCTTCTTGCAGCAAAGTTTTGAAATGCTTGTACTATGCTGGTTGCCAGTCTCTTTTATGCTCAGTTTTAATTCATTGAAATTCAATATATTATGATTTTGGTCCAATGTATTTCCTGTTCCAGTTTTAAAGCTAGTCAGGAACTAGTCAGTCTATTTCTTGTTCCATCTGCCTGGAAACCTCAGATTAGTTCAACCTGAGTAGCTACTGTGGTTTGTCCTCGAAGATTCTGAGCAATGCATACATAGTATCCAGCATCAATGGTTTCCAGATCTTCAACAGTAATAATGCTCTCAGAGATTCTTGTAGTATGACCAACTCCTCTATCAATCAACCTCCAAGAGTCTTGGATATTTACTGGTCTTTTATACTGAAAAGATAAAGACAACGCATTACATGGTGTAGAATTCTGCAAAAAAAAAAAAAATACCCACCTCTTTTCATTTGCAAACTTTATTTTCTACTAACCTAAAACATGCATTGTAGTTTTAATCTGAATTATAACCAATAAAAGAGGCAAGCTAAGGCAGATGCTTTGACAAATGCCTTTGTATTTATTTATGTTTTATTTGTTTTTTAAATAATTCATATTAGGCTTCATATTTGGAATAAATATATGACACTATTTAAGACTGATGTCTCAGTATTAAAGTTTGCATCTCTTGAATTTACATGATTTACCATAAATATTTATAAGCCCAGCAGCATGCTTTATGTAAGGAATAAGAAATTAGATTATAATAATCATTCTATCATTTCTTCTTTGTAGACTTCACACATTTAGGCAGGAAGTCTAAAGAGGAGTTGTACTTCCTTGCTTGCATCACAACTGGGACCAGCAGCTCTGTCATTAAAGTGACGGCTAAATGGAAATCAAATGTCCGTGACTGTGCTTTCCTTTCCCCCACTTTCCTGTTCTTTGGAATGCTCACATTGGTGCTGGGATAGCAAGCTCACAGTGGTTGCCTGTAACTGGCAAGACTAATCAGTTTCACGCCTTTGTTTGCCTTTTAACAATGCTTGGTCTTCCCTCCCCCTACTGCCCCTATTGCCCTTTGGAATGCTCACTCTGTGCTGGGATAATTAGCAAGAAAGAAGGAAATTAATGTATTTACATTTATTGGAGAGGAACGGATTACAAGAGAGTAAACAGGCACACAGTGGGGAATACACATCAAAAGTAATGTGATGGCACCAGCAGCCTCAAACCTACTATGCAAACAGCCAAGTTTATTCCCCTTTTTGTGCCTGCTTACTCCTTTGTAATCCTTTCATCTCCAATCTCTCTATTCTGTAAGAGGAGAAGGAAGTGGGTCAGTCATAGGAGAGGTTTCCTACAGAGATTGTTTTTTTTTCTTCCCACCCTCATGCAGAATAGAGAGATTACTTAAATATGTGCGAGGCTTAAAAAAAAAAAAAAAGCCAACCAATCTCTGTAGGTAATCTCTCCTGTGGCTGGCCTGTTTTTTTTCCTCCCCACCACCTCCTCACAGAGTGGAGAGATTGGAGTAGTCAATCACACAATGGTGAATACACTGGGCTATTTGTGTAGAACACTTGGAGTTGATGTCATCACATTTCTTTCAATACGTTTTTGCCATTGTGTAACTCTTGCTCTTTTGTAATCCCTTCCTCTCTAATCTCTTCACTCTGTAAGTGGGAGGGGGAGAAATCACTGATCAGGCACAGGACAGTGCATACTGACTGTAATGACAATCATGTGAAGGGCGCTTCAAAGTTTGCAAATGCAGGCAGATTATAAAGTTATTGTTTTCAACCCTATCATAACTCTGAATGGTTATTGAATGAGACAGCCAGTGTGAATGACCTGAGAATTAATACAGCAAGCTATGTATGCAAGTGTACATTTCCCTTCAGACAAAGACTGAAAGTAGAAAGGATGGGATTGTGACTGTTCCTTTTTCCCACATTGCCCAACACCCATACAACCACTTATGCCAGCAGTTCTCAACCTGTGAGTCACGACTCCATTTGGGGTCGAACGACCATTTCACAGGGGTCGCCAAACAACGCAGTCTGCCATTTTTTCCCCTTTTCCTTAGTTATGCTACTCCCTTTTATTCTATTGGCTTTTGAAAGCCAATAGAATAGACTCTCTTACGACCGGTTGGGGATCGCGGCATTAAAAAGGTTGAGAACCACTGACTTATGCCATCACAGATCTCTTTTAAGTGGCTACAAGGCCTTATAGTGCTTTTGTTGGATTTGGTTACTTAAATTAGACTTTAGCTAAGCTTGTGTATTTCAAGCTTCATTAATAAGTTTAGATCCAAAATCAATCACCAATGAAAAATCCCCATGCATTTTATAGAATGCAATGACTGGAAATGATCTCCCATTCTTACCAAAGTTCTCAATTCTTTACATGATGATTTGATATGCAGACCAATTAGTTGTGTTAACATTACAGCCTCAGTATTTTTTTGTATCCTGCCTTTATTATTTTTAGAAATAACTCAAAATAGAGAATTTATCCAACATAGCTCCTTCCTCCTATTTTTACCACAACCATAATCCTGAGAGATGGTTTGGGCTGAGAGAAGGAACCCAACTGTCTTTCATGGCTAAGGCAGTACTTGAACTCATAGTCTCCTGTTTTCTAGTGTGATCTAGTGGTGGGATTCAGCCGGTTCACACCACTTCGGCAGAACCGGTAGTTAATTTTTTGTTGCCCAGGCCCAGAATGGACTTCTGGAAGCAGCATCCACACAGAGAACCGGTTGTTCACATATTTGAATCCCACCACTGGTGTGATCAGTTCATTTTCATCACAACTGCCTTAAAACAGCATCACTTAATCAGTAATAACATGCAAAAAAAATTACTTAACCAATAAAAAATACATAGAAAAGAATATACTGTACGTAACTCATATATTGAACTGAGGGAATCCTTGGTGCTTTCTGGGCTTGGTTGTTTTCTTGCAGGCATGTCATTACCCAACTAGATAATATCATCAATGCTACAAACTGATGAAATAACTGCAACAAAGCAATCAAGTTCAGAGAGCACCAAGGATTCCACAATAAACATGCAATATTTTATCTTTTTTATTGGCAAAGAAACCTTTTTCTGTAAGAAACTGATCGTTGGGGAATTTCAAAGATAATTTCTAGCAAGACTTCTTAGTTATAAAACACTTGCATAATCTAATTTTGCATAATCTAATTTTGACTGCCAATTCTGTAACATAGTTGCAATCTTGCTGCCTATCCGTGCCCTTTTCTAACATTTTTTCCCTCTAAAACAGGGATAGCCAATTTGTTTATCATCTTGTACTAAATAATCTATCTAATAATCTTTCTACGCTAAGAGTAATGGAAACATAGGTTAATATTTAACTTATACTGAAATCTCTTCTAGCAATTGAATATATTTCTGTAGCTAATTGCTTTGTTCCACAATTATCTAAAATCCACTCTTCCACATAGTAATACACATTTAATGTTCCAGTTTAGACTTTAAGAAATAAGCAAAGGAAACAAAATCTATGGTACATACTTGTTGCCCTGGATATATCCAATTAAATTCCACTTCTATATCTGGCTGCCCCAAAACTGTGCACAAAACATTAACATCACCCCCACCCTGTAATTTATTAGATGATGCTTTGATTGTAGTTGAAGGAGGTCCGTAAGGAACTAATTCAAAGCAAAAGAAAAGATAAAAAGAAAAGAAGAAAAGTGAGGTTGCTTTGAAGGTGGCCCCATTATATTCACATAGATTAAAAATTAGGTTTCACAAGACAAGAATGGAACAACAATAATGTACTTTCAATTATTACACTCCTACCTTGTGCAAAAAAAGATTATTAGAATTTGAAAGGGTAGCTGTTGGTTCACCAATCTAGTAAACAGTTGTGGAATTTCTCATGCTTGAATTGTTCAATTTTCTATTTTAATAATCCTTCTTCCAGGACTGGTTATACAGGCAGTCCCGGAGTTACACCCATTCATTCAGTGACCTTTCAAAGTTGCAACAACACTGAACAAGGAGGACTTATGACCGGTGCTTTGAGTTCTGGCCCACACATTATCTCTGCAATTATGCAATCATGATTTCTGATGTTCCCTGCTGGTTTCCCACAAAGTGGGAAGGTTGAGAGGAATTGGGGAGTGGTGGTCATTTAAGTTTCTTGCTTAAAGACAAGCATGGTTCTTACTTAAAGATAGCAACCAGGACTTCCAGAACTACCATTACTAAGTGACGCCATCCCATGACATCAATCTTTATGACCATGTTGTTTAGTGATGTCAATTCTGGTCCCAACTGCTGTCATAAATGGAGGAATACCTCTTCTGATCTATATTACTTTGGGTACTTAGGCAATAAACTGTGCCTTTATTGTATAAGCACATAGTAATTCTGTGCCTGGCACTTTTTTTTTAAATACATAGTCATTATTTACTCTGACTGTCCAATTTTCCATCATATCCCTTTTCCTCCCCTAAAGAATACCTCTATATTATAAATAACAAACCTATGCAAAGCATTTTCCAAAAATGACTGCTTTAAGGATTGTTACATCAGAAGTGTGCTATTCATAAAAAACAGAAGCCTGGTGAGTGAACAGACTTCAGAGTAGGCACATAACTCTTCCGAGGGTGGCTTCTCTAAATTTCAACAAGTGCTTCATTTACATGAATGTGTTTTCTACTAGAAGCTTTGCACAACCCTTATATATCATGCTCATTTCTCAAGATCACATTACTGGATCTGATGAGGTGAATTATGAACTATAAATGCTTATGTAGTAACAAAGCTTAATTTTCAAGAGACCATAAAATTACTTCTTGAGGGCATAACTCAATGAGCCTAATTTTTATCACTAGGACTTCCGGTGGCGACGGCCGCGCCAATGGCGGCTTTTTTCAGCCGTCCACCCTGGAATGTGTCAAAGCCAGCTGAGACAGCGAGCAACAGCTGTCTCGCGGCTTGGAACCTCTCTCCCCAGGTGAAGGGAAGGAGGTGAGCTTTCCTCAGATAGTGGCAGAGCTCCCCGAGACCCTAAAGCTTTCTTTTTGATGGTCGGAGGGTGAGAGCTCCCATGGAGTCTGAGGTGTCCTCCACATTCCAGGATGCCTTTGCCCTGATTTTTATCCAGGGCAAAGCTAGACGCTGCTTCCACATCTGCGCTTAAAATGAATTTGTGAGTAAAATTTAAAGCAGACAGAGCTGACCAGGAGAGATTAAAATGGTAATTATTCTGAGACTTTAACTCTGGAAAAGAATTTATCTTTTCTTTTTTTTTCAATTAAGAGTGATGAAAAATGGCGCTGAGATGTTGATTCTTTGAGTGAAAGGACTGGAACTTCTTTTTGAAACAATGTAACAGATTTTGTATTTATATAAAATGCAAGAATTTTCTTTTTTCTTTTAAGGGGGCTTTTGTCTTTTTTCCTCCCCTTTTTTTGGTATTTGTTGATTTTATAAGATTTTAGCAGACTTTTTAACAAGTGGTCTTAAAAATAAAATGGCTTCAAAGTGTCTCGGAGCTTCTATTGTTTCTAAAGCCTCGATCTTCCCGGTAATGTAGACAGCTCAGCAGGTTAAGTTTAAGTTACCACCACCTTCTCCATCGTTACCAGCATGTATACTTAAAGATTTACAGGATGCCTTGGGAAATAAGGCACGACAGATTAAAAAAGAGATGGAGGAATTTCTTGAAAATAAAATTAGGGGACTGAGAAAGGACATTGCGTCTGTGTTTCAAAAGTTTGTTGGTCATATAGATTGTCTGGATGATCGTATTGATGTTGTGGAAAATTTTGAAAAACTGGAAGATCGAATTGATAAAGTAGAAAATAAGGTGGAAATAACACAGGATGAAATTACTATGTTACAACATAGAGACATGGAATTTGCTTTAAGAATAAGGGGAATGAAGGAAAACACACAAGAAGATTTGAGACAAGTGGTGGTAAAAGATATAGCTTTCATTTTGGGGGCTGAGCCTGAAGAAATACTGAGAGAGACGGAAAAAGTTTTTAGGGTTAATTCAAGGGTTGCGAGGCAGAAGAATTTGCCACGAGACGTAGTTATTTATTTTTCTAGGAGATCACTTCGTAATGAAATTTTACAGGCTTTTTATAAGCAGATATTTCAAATTGCAACTCAAGATGTTATAATTTTAAAAGAAATACCTTCAAAAATTCTTAGAAAAAGAAAGGATTTTGCTTTTTTGGCTGATGAGCTCAAAAAACGACAGGTCTGGTTCTTATCACTTTTTTGACTAACAAATTTCATTCAAAGATTTAAATTTTGTTAGTTGGAAAAGGTGCTATCGAGGACTCCTGATTTTTATTTGGTATCATAATCTAACATAGTTCTCTTCCTGCTATTCTACAAGAGCTATTTTAATATAAGTTAGATGTGCAAAACTCTGTCATGGTTTGTAATAGACAGATATTCCTCCTACTGTATGTAATCCCCATATTGCCTTTATACCTTGGAATCTAAAACTTACACTGCTATTTGGTGGCAGATCTCCAAAATTTGACATTTGTGTGATTTCTTGTGTTTTCCACAAGGAAATTAAAATAGGAACTCAGAGAAGCTATCAAAAACAATCTACCCATCTGCATGATATACAGTAATTCCATCATTTTAATTCCTTGTGGCTCCATCAAGAAAACATAACCAAGGTGTGACTTCTTACTGCTTCAACTGAATAACATCAAAAGTATTCTACTGCATACCAAGTTTCTTGGAATTAACTTACCTTCAACATAAAGCAATTGGTATTTAATAGAAATCTGAAGTGTCCCCCATGATTCAGCTCTGCAGTAAACTATTCCTTTCTGATCAGAGGTTGGATGTTGGTAGATGAACCCCTTCTTGGCATCATAGATAATGTTGGTTCCATCCACTTTGATTTCTTCTGCTGGAAACTCTTGGTGAAGAGTTACTTTTGCTGATGGGTTGGTGATTCGGCAGGGAATCACAGCAGGTTTATCTGGGTTGAGGTACACCACTTCAAAATAGCTGGGAGCAGGAACAAAGAATTCTTCTTTATCTGTATAAAGAAGCAATTCAAGGTATGTGTGTGTGCGTGTGTCTGTGTGTGTCTGTGTGTGTATGAGTGTAAATGGAGGGGTGGATTGATGGATGGATGGATGGATGATAGATAGATAGATACGGAAGACAGACAGATAGACAGATAGATAAGAGATTAGATAGATAGATAGATAGATAGATAGATAGATAGATAGATGGATGGATGGATGGATGGATGGATGGATGGATGGATGGATGGATGGATATATAGATAGACAGATAGACAGATAGATAGATATGGATAGATAGATAGATAGACAGACAGACAGATAGATATGGATGGATGGATAGATAGAAAGATAGATAGATAGATAGATAGATAGATAGATAGATAGATAGATAGATAGATAGATATGACGTCAGCTCAAATTTCTCCATAAGAAAATAATTACTGCACAATTCTGGATTTTATTAACAATAAACATCTAGTAATGTTTAATAGTATTAATGTATTGATGGGCTGATGTGGTTCCCATTTTCAAGAAAGGGAAAAAAACAGACCCAGGAAACTACAGACCAATCGATTTAACATCAATACCTGGGAAGATCCTAGAAAAGATAATAAAAAACAGATCTGCAAACAACTAAAAGCAAACGAAGTTATAACTAGTAGCTAGCACAGGTTTGTTAAAAACAGATCATACCAAACCAATCTTATTTCATTCTTTGATAAAGTGACTAAACTAGTAGACCAGCGAAATGCTGTGGACGTAGTATATTTAGATTTCAGTAAGACATTTGATAAAGTAGACCTTGGTAAGCTAGAAAAAGATGGAATAGACAACATCACCACCAGATGGATCTGTAGCTGGCTGGCAAACTGTACTCAACAAGCAGTCCTCAATGGCACTACATCTACATGGAGAGAAGTAAGCAGTGGGTACCACAAGGTTCCGTCTTAGGCCCAGTACTCTTCAATATTTTCATCAATGGCTTAGATGAGGGAATTGAAGGGAAACTTATCAAATTTGCAGATGACACCAAACTGGCAGGAGTAGCCAACACCTCAGAAGACAAGCTCAGGCTCCAAAAAGATCTTGACAAGCTTGAACAATGGGCCCTATCTAACAAAATGAGTTTCAATTTGGAGAAAAGCAAAGTTTTACATTTAGGCAGGAAAAATCAAAGGTACAAGTACAGATTGGGCGAGACCTGGTAACTGTGGGAGCCCTTGGAGCCCTAGTGGACAATCACTTGACTATGAGCCATCAATGTACAGCAGCAGCCAAAAAAGCTAATACAATCCTGGGTTGTAAAAACAGAGGCATAGAATCAAGATCACATGAAGTATTAGTACCACTTTATAAAACCCTAGTAAGACCACAACTGGAATACTGCAGCCAATTTTGGTCGTCATATCACAAAAAAGATGTTGAGCGTTTGGAAAAAAATTCAGAGAAGAGCAGATGATGAAAGGCTTGGAGACTAAAACATACGAAGAATGGCTGCAGGACTTGGGTTGGCTAGTCTAAAGAAAAAACGAAATAGGGGAGACATGATAGCAGATTCCAGTATTTGAGGGGCTGCCACAAAGAAGAGGGAGTCAAACTATTCTCCAAAACACCAGAGGGAAGGATAAGAAACATTGGTTGGAAACTTGGAATTAAGGAGAAACTTCCTGACAGTGAGGACAATTAACCAGTGGAACAGCTTGCCTCCAGAAATGGTGGGCACTCCATCACTGGAGATTTTTAAGAAAAGGCTAGACAGTCACTTGTCTGAGATGGTATAGGTCTTCCTGCTTGAGCAGGAGACTGGACTAGAAGACCTCCAAGGTTCCTTCCAGTTCTATTCTATTCTCATAGTCACTTTCGTTAAAAGGGAACAGTATGAGACATTATTTTGATGGAGGTGGACAGAACGACAGATAATTTTTCCATCCATCCATCCATCATCCACCATCCATCCATCCAAATATTGTTGGGGGGCTTCTAACTTATTTTATAAAAAATTAATAAAAAATATTTTATAAAAATCCTGGAGCACTGGAGAGCTATCAAAAGACTAGAAAAGAGGTGATGTGTTTCCCGTCTTCAAAAATGGGGAAACAATGGACCCAAGAAACTATAGACCAATCAGCTTGACATCAATATCTTAAAAGACTCTGGAAAAGATAATTAAGCAAAGGATCTGTGAACACCTAGAAACAGGCAAAACTATTACTAGAAACCAACATGGATTTGTCAGAAACAGATCATGCCAGGCAAACATTGCATTCTTTGAAAAAGTGACTAAAATAGTGGACCAGCAAAATGTTGTGGACATATTATACCTGGACTTTAGTAAGGCATTTGACAAAGTAGACCACAGCTTACTTCTTGGTAAGATAGAAAAATGTGGATAGACTTGTAACTGGCTGGCTGGCTGGCTGACCAATTGCATTCAATGTGTAGTCTTCAATGGAACTACATTGGCATGGAAGGAAGCATGCAGTAGGTACCTGAAAGTGCTATCTTAGGCCCAGTACTCAACATCTTCTTAAACATTTTAGATGAAAGCATAGAAGGGAACGCATCAGATTTGAAGATAACACCAAGCTGGAAAGATTAGTCAACACTTTAGAACAGGGGTTCCCAACCCCCAGGCCATGGACCGGTAACTATATAGTGGTGAAGAGATAGAATGCTTAGAAAAATTCACTTTCTTAGGATTGCAGATAGCTCAAATCGGTGAATGCAGCACAGAAGTAAAATGTTGGACTGCACTGGGTCGCATAGCAATGATGAACATCAGCCAAACGTGGAAAAGCAAGGACATCAGCCTGACAACCAAATGTAGGTTAGTTTGCTCTATTGTGTTCCCAATAGCTACCTATAGTTGTAAAAGTTAAAAAAAGCAAGACAGGAAGAAAATTGACTCATTTCTGAGCCAAGGTGGCGCAGCAGTTAGAGTGCAGTACTGCAGGCCACTTTAGCTGACTGTGTTCAGCAGGTCAGCGGTTCAAATCTCACCGGCTCAAGGTGACTCAGCCTTCCATCCTTCCGGGGTAGGTAAAATGAGGACCCAGATTGTTGGGGGCAATGTAAATATATATATATACATTGCTTACTGGTGTACACCGCTTAGAGAGTGCTTGCACTTAAAGCGGTATATAAGTCTCATAAATAAATAAATAAATAAATCTGAGATGTGTTGGAATATGCTGGAGAAGGTTCCTGCATATTCCTTGGACAGCAAAAGTAATTAACAAGCAAGTATTGGAGTGCATAACATCAGACATGTCACAAGAAGACGTGTCCAAGCAAATATTGGAGCGCATAATACCAGACATCTCATTTACTTTGGAATTCACTGAAGCAAGCAATTAAGAGTTAGCGGTAAAAGGAAACCAGAGCATAGTAAAACTCAAAGAAATAGTGCAAGATGAGAAGATGTGGAGAGACCTGGCCTATAGAATTGCCAAGAATCAGACTTGACTGAACAGATGTCATCGTCGTCACACTTAGGCAAGAAAAACCAAATGCACGGGTATAAAATAGGTAGTACCCAACTCAACAGCAGTATCTGTAAGAGGGATCTAGGAATCCTAGTGAACAGTCACTTAAATATTAGCCAGCCGTGTGCCACAACTGCAAAAATGGCCAATGCAGTCCTAGGCTGCATCAACAGAAAGATTATATCAAGATCATGTGAAGCAGTGACAGGAAATTTCTCCTTAATTTTATGCTGCACTGGTAAGACCACACTTGGAATACTGCATTCAGATTTGGTCACCACAGTACAAAAAAGATATTGAGACTCTAGAAATAGTGCAGAGAAGAGCAACAAAGATGATTAGGCTAAATTGTACAATGAGGCTAAATTGTACAATGAATAGTTACAGGAACTGGGAATAGTCTAACAAAGAGGAGGGCTGGGATGAAATGATAGCAGTCTTCCAATATTTGAGGGGCTATCATAGAGAGGAAGGGTCAACCTATTCGCCAAAGTACCTCACAGCAAGACAAGAAGTAACAGATGAAAGCTTAACAAACAGAAATCCAACCTAGTATTAAGGAGAAAATTCTGAAAAAAAAATTCAAGTGACATAGAAAATCTTTAAAGGGTTCCCCACCTACCTTAATTCAAGGCCTGAGGATACATTGATTTTTTTCAAAGTTATCCTAAACAGTAGCATTTCTAATTTAGCTACCAGTCATGGGCAAAATGCCTATTATATCTCAGGGACATAAGTGTACTACTGTACTTTCAAATTCAAAGGCAACTTTCAGGCTTGACCTGCTTGCAACAACAGCCTGCCAGTTATGTATTTATGTCCTGTCTGGTCCTTGACAAATCCTGTTTTGCAATGTTAAGAGGGAAGGGCTGTGTAGGGGTGGAGGGTGGGGGGGTTGGGGGGGATGTGCATGCACAAACACATGCAAGACTATACTAACCTACAATAGGTTTATTAACGTATGGGACATCAGTTCTTCAAGTTTGTTGATCTAAAAGAAAGGTAACGCAATAGTGCTGAAAAAAATAGGCTTTACTGATGCCTTGAAAATTATAGTTATAACCCCAATGTGAGTCCTTTATTCCACATGGTCTGCTCAGAACTGCAGCTTCCCTATCAGAGGTTTTTAAAACAGCCTAATTTCAAAAACCTTGTGTAATGTATTGGGGGAAAGCAGGTCTGTTTGGAAAAAGCAAACAATGAACATTTGATGAACATTTGCTACTCGTTCTGTTTAATGTATCAAATATTTAAGGAATGAAATGAAATTTAAAATTGGTTTATATTACTTCCCAGAGGTTCTACCAGTATTATAATGAAGAGATTAACTGACTGAAGTTGGCCAAATCTTTTTGAAGAAATGTTGAAAGATATATGTTTGGACTAATCAAATGGTTATTTACTTGAATAGACAAGGTTCTTCTCTCTCTCTCTCTCTCTCTCTCTCCTTCCCTCCCTCCCTCCCTTCCCACACACACTCTCTCTCTTCCTCTAAAACAATGTAGGCAGACTTTGGATTTCTGGGGTCTGCTTTATTTTGGTTTTAGGTCCACAACCACAGCCTAGTACAAAATCCAAAGCAGTAACAAAAAAATGGGACCAGAAATGTTTTTTAATCATAAAAAAAATGAAATTCAGAATCTTTCTGTCTAAAGCCCCACTCCTCTGACTCAGCCTTTTTTTCAGCAGTATAATTTGGTAAAGGGAAGAAAAGAACATTTTTATGCTGTTATTGTTGGAAATCAGAAAGCATATATTGTATATCATAAACTGGTAAATTCAGAGTTGCATTTCCATCATTTCTATCCATGCAATATGCTAATTGAGTGTACCCAAGATAGCAAGCTGCAGTTACAGTTTTGACAGTCTGTAGATCAAATCTCTAGAACTGGATAGATGAGTTTTTGAGAGGAAAAACAGAAATAATCCTGGTTTCTTTGGTAAGCATTACTTAGTTTATTACCTGCAAAAAATATGTACGTTGAACCTGTTTTTGACTCATCCTTCTTACAATTGTAGCCTTTGCATAGCAGGAGCCAGCACTTATATTCACCGGTGTCTGCTGCAGTGGCATTTTCCAGGATCAGCCGACTGTACCTCTCATGTTGTTTGATGCTAACAAAAACAGAGACAAAGGACTATTTCAGCTTCTGGTGCTGATCTTAGGTTCCTTTCTTGCCTTCTTTGATTATTTTGATTTTCGTTCTGTAACTTTAAACCACTTCTATAAATGAGATGCCACATTTAAAAGTGAAACAAAAATTGGCAGGAAAACCATTTGACATTGTGTTTTCACAATTTTCTTTGGGTACCAGACTTTCAGTATAAACAGGAATGATACATTCCCACATTCCCATCTGTAGTGCTACAGATCTACCAAAATAACAATAATTGATTTTAAATAGTATTGTAGAAAAATAGTCTGCAACTATCTGAATGACTGAATTGGTAGAAGCTATCAGACAATTTGTACCTTCATGAAAGAAAAAGTAGATGACATCAAGCAAAGGTAGTAAAAAGGACATTTTTCTAAGTACCTATTCACAACTTCTGGAAAATTGGAGTGAATTCTGCAAAGGCAGCCAAAAGACAGACATAAAACTGTGGAACAAGCGAAGCAGTAAATAATTTAATGGAAGTTAATGGGTGCATATTTGCAGGACACATGGGTGATAGTCAGTACACAAATCTACATTATAGAGATTCAATTGTGCCTGAGGAATTTTGATTCCATGTGTTAGCAGAATCTTTTAAATATGGCTAAACTGAGACAAGGTCAGCATTAATGAATTTACTACAATGTCTGTTCCTGCATATAAGTCAAATTGCAATCATTATTAATTTCTTAGTAAAGAATCTAATTTTTCAACATGTACATGGACTCCTCTTATTCTTTTACAAACTATGTACTGAAAATTAAATTAAATTCACTTTTTGGCATCTGATACAGATATGTTACTAGCATTCTCATAATCTTCCGAAAAATGTAAATACATGTAAAATACATATAAAATGTAAAAACATTAGCCTGAGTAGGCCTCTTTAAACTGAAAGAGTTTACTTGCCATATTACAATATCCTTTCAATCTATTTTGGTGAAAAGATGAAATTGGGCAGGTATATGAAATAAAAAAAAATAGGTGTCTCCGGGGATTGCAATTTGTTCTCCAGGAGAGAGAGACACTGATAGCTCAATGTATATCTTCATCGAGCTGTAGTTACAAAGTATTTGATGTTATCATAGACAGTTGAAACCAACATTCATTTCAAATGCTTTTATACATGGCTGTCCATATATGGATGGATTTCAGTTTCCATCAGCAACATTTTAGCAAAGCCAATGAGAATTGTACTTCAACATTTATTTTCAGATCCCCTTGTAAAAATGACAAATGCAAGAAATTCAGTTTTGTTGTACCATTTGTTCCCTTTTTCTATTGTCCTGACAAGTTCCAATCCTTTTTGTCTAGTGCATGAAACTGATGCCATGAGCCCTTTGCATAAATACAAAATCAATGTCTACTAAGATGAAAACTTTTCAGGAACTGATAAAGGTACAGGCATTGCCTAGAACAATGCAATGTTAATAGGCATATTCCAGAAGAAATTAATTAAAATGAATTCCTATTAAATCTCCAAGATTTACACCCAAGACAGACAAATGTAATTCCATTCCTTTCAATTGCAGATAATCTTGGCTAATGTTCACTGGATTTGTGTTTAAATCCTTCCTAGAATAATAGTCACTTTGAGAATCACTAGACCATATGATCCTTCACTGGAAGTTCTGGCAGTTCCATCACCAAGTAAGCAGTGGTGGGATTAAAATATGTGAACAACTGGTTCTATTTGTGGATGCTGCTTCTGGAAGTCCATTCTGGGCCTGGGCAACAAAAAAATTAGCTACTGGTTCTGCCGAAGTGGTGCGAACTGGTTAAATCCCACCACTGCAAGTAGGCATCAAGTAGGAAAGCTGTTTCAGGTTCATTCCCTCCAGTTAAAGGCAGATTTGATTAGTATTATAGGTGAAATCTGCCATCTAGTGACCCATTATGCTATAGCTCAGTTAACAGCAAAATAAACCATAAATCCCTTTGGAGATCTATTCAGAAATATTAATGATTTTTTTGGTTTTGATAGGATGAATGTCTACATATTATTAGTACAACATTTTTGAAAAGGGCTACATGTTCTGAGTCATGTTTATATAGTTTCCCCACAAAAGAGATGGGAAACCAACAGTTCCTTGAACAAAGGTGAGCTTCAGGGCTTGAGAACCATGGTGTAGATAGACAACAGATTTTCTGACAGTGGCCAGAATTTTTAGAGGCAAATGGTCTGCTAGCCATTATGGTTCAGAAGATGCCAGTCACAGTTGCAGGGGAAACATCAGAAAATTATTGTATACCCTGCAATTACTAAACGCTGAAGCTCAACACTGCCCAACAAATACTGGCCATGAAAGCTCACATCAGCATGTATCTCCCTTAAGACTGAAGTATAATTCTCAGCAGACAGCAAACATTCCAAGAGTAATGTTTCTGGGAATGGTAATTTAGTAACATTTGAAGAGCTATTTTTTTTTTACCTCCCATTTAAAATATACACAGGCATTTATTTATGTTTTATTTATTTATTTTACAGTTTTTGTAACCTGACTCAACCCCCATACTTTAGGTCCATGGTGGTGAACCTATGGCACGCATGCCACAGGTGGCACACAGAGCCCTCTCTGTGGGCATGCGTGCCGTCATCCCAGTCCTAGGCCTTCAGTTGGGTTTTATAAAATCTTTTCGCTTTAGGCCTCTGCCACCGTGTGCAAAAAAAAAAAAAAGTTCAATCAATCAATTTCAATTTCTCGCGGAGAAAAAAAAGATCTCACAAAGTTGGAATTGATTGATTAAACTTTTTAATCCCACCCAGTCTGCCATTATGACTGCAGCCACACCCACCCAATGGGCCACGCCCATCCAATGGGCCACACCCGCCTGGCACCCAACGATACATAAGTGGGTTTTGGGTTGCAGTTTGGGCACTCGGTCTCTAAAAGGTTTGCCATCACTGCTCTAGGTGATATACAACAGATTAATAATAATTAGTATGGTTTAGGAAAGAGCAACAATGCAAAGACTAAAGCTGTATTAGGGAAGAACTCTACTCAGTCCCCAAATCACACTATATTGAAAAAAACAACTCAAGTTGATATATTTTTCAGGTCATTTCATACTACATAAATAATGGTCAGACTGAAATATTAATGTTTTATTTGACTAGTTGGCTTCTGCCATGTAAGCATTTTTAACAGAAAACTACTTTGATTTATATCTTGTAGATAAATCCAATTTCATGGTACAAAAGTAGTTAATATTCATTGATAGGTGAATGTTCTTGTAATCTTTCTTTTCCTCACTCAATCATGTCTTATTCTCCTAGTATTTTTTTTATTAACTCAAATTGTTGCTCCAAGCTTCATTAAAGCTTGCAAACCTTTGCCCTAAATATATGAGCTTTAGTCAAGATAATTATTGTACTTTCATTTAGGGTCATCTTTCCCTCTGGTGACTATAGCCAATTTGGTCTAGTGGTTAAGACACCAGACTAGAAACCAAGAGGCAGGGAGTTTCCTGGATTGTTTTAGTCACAAAGCTGGCTGGATGACCTTCAGCCAATCTCTATCTCTCAGCCCATCTTACTGGGTTGTTGTCGTGTAAATAGGAGGAAGGAATATTAGGTATGTTTGCTGCCTTGAATTATTTATAAAAATAATAAAAAATACAAATATTTCACAAAGAAAGAAGAGTCCATTATGTACTGTTGTCTTCAGCCATAATTTTACTGATTAAAGACTTGTTTACTTCCTATACCCAAAGTTTCTAGATGTCATGGGGATGAAACGAATGAGTACGTCAGTATAAATGTTTGCAAATCAAATATATTGGAGCAACAACTTGAATTAATAAAGAAAATAGTAGGAGAATAAGATTTGATTGAATAGGGAGAAAAAATATTACAAGGACTTCCACCTGTCAATGAGTTTGCAAGAGAGTAATTTATTTTAGATCTGCTTTCTGACTAATTTAGCTTCAAAGAAAAGACGATGAGGAATACTATAACAGGTTGTCTCACTGAAAAATTTCTGTCTATGGTCTTGTTGGACTCATCCTCAGTGACCACTAAAAGAGACCCAGTTTGGTTTAGCGGTTAAGGCACCAGGCTATAAAGTGGGACACTGTGAGTTGTAGTACTGTCTTATCCAGGAAAGCCAGATAGGCTACCTTGGGCTAGTCTTTCTCTCACAGAATGGTTTTTGTGTGATAAATAGGAGAAGGAAAGTGTGCTGTATGTTCGCTACCTTGAGCTATTTGTAAAAATAATAAAAGCGGGATATAAATTAAATAAATAATCTATTGCTGTCATTGTTTTCTAAAAATACTAATTTTAAACATATATGATGATATAGTTAAAGCCTATGTTTAATTTTTCCCCATAGTTCTAGATCACAGCATTAAAAAGTAAAAGCAATCCTAGCACTGACATCCTTTACAAAGCACTCATGTAAAGAACACTTCCAGTTGAAATAACAGCAGTTGGCTTCAGATCTTAGAACAAGAATTGAAAAAGCGGCTCCTTGGCCAACTGGGGCCTGCCAGCATCCATCCAGACAGGGTGGGGCCAAAACCTGATAGCCATTCTTTCCATTTGGAGGGCTGGCTAGGCTCTCGGGCAAAATGGGTGCCTTAACTTTGCAGATACTTTCAAGAATACAGTACATTTGTCCCAAAGGTGGTTTTTCCAAAAGACAACTGGACTTTCTTGGTTTTTTCATTGAAAACATTTTGCTTCTCATCCAAGAAACTTCTCCAGTTCTGACTGGTGTGGAAAGAAAGGATTTATATTCTTTGCAGTCACATGGTTGTTAACACTCTTGAGGGTTGAAAGTTTATCTATATCCTCAGAGTCACCCAAATCAGAGTGTAAATGAGTGTGGAACCCCTCATTCCATTCTCCACCAATCAGTTAGAACTGAAGAAGCTTCTTGGATAAGAATCCAAACATTTTTCAAAGAAAAAAGTAAGAAAACACGGTTGTCTTTTGGAAAAGCACCTTTGGGACAACAATGACCTGGATGATTGAGAAAACATCTTTCCCCTAATGGGATGAAGCCTTCATACTGCTAGAGCCTGGTATTGCCACTCGAGTGAGAAATTGTGTTTTCCTGTACTAAAACATTAGTTTTTTTCTGCTCATGGCTGCTCTGTAATATTGATATTTGTGATGCACCTTGAGGCTTATGGTGCAATCATGCCCACTAGGAAATAAATTGTAAATTTCTAACTTTTATCTGAGATTGCTGGAAACAAGAGGAAGCCAGAAGAATGGTGAAATTATGTACCGTTCAGCCCAAATGTTGATTTAGGTACTAATAAAGGAGAATATTTGTAGCTCAGAGTTGAAATGAGGTGTCCTTGGTGCTCTCTGAGCTGGATTGTTTTCTTGCAGATGTTTCATTACCCAAACTAGATAACATCATCCATGCTAGTCACTAGTCATTACCTAATTTGGGTAATGAAATATCTGCAAGAAAGAACACAAGGGTGTCTCATTGCTTTAGGTGAAAGACTTTGGAAGCCTTTCCCACCAGATGCCTTCCAGATGTATTGGATTATAATTCCCACAATCCTTGGCTACCATGGCCACTGGAAGAGGGCTGCATCTAACTATATGTGGGAAATGCTCTCTCCTAAACCAAGCAGATGTTCTATCTGTCTCATGTGTTTTACCTGAACAAGACCATCCACATTTACCTACTTTGTTCAGAAAGAATTTCAATGAAGCCTCAGGGCCATTTCATCCTCTTTCACCTGGCAAGCCTTACCTAAGCCTGGTGTCTTTAAAGGTGTCAAGATAAGGAGGGTAGCTCCATCCAATTCTATTCCCTTTACACCGAAGCTCTATACTTTGACCTGCTGAAAGGTTTAATGTAGCCGTGGGTTTCTGGAAGTGGCCCTTCTCCATCACTCGTGTCATTATGGAGCTGGCCTTTGGGGAAGGCTCTGTGGAATTTCTTTCTTTTAATTTGGGAGTTCTGGTTTTGACTTTTTTGTTGCTCAGCTTAATCCTGTTCTCTCCATGTTCCTTTGGACGTTTGCTCTTTGCAGGTTGACCAACAGCTATTACAAAGAGAGGAGAAAAGATGATGCAGTACAATATTAATAGGAATGTTTCTGTTATATTTTTCCTATGGGTACACTGAACGGAAGAAAAAAAATCTGATTTAAAATTTGCATCCAATCTGTGTTTATATGGGCCTAAACTGCAAGCAGCTTATTGTTAATAACATTTAAGTCTGCCACATCAACCAGGACATTCAGAGACAGGCAATTTTTAGTGCTGCATTGATTTCAATTAAGCTCATGCATATGAACATTTACCCCTAAAGGAAAAGTAACAACATAAAAATATTTTCTCCCCTTGAATATGAAATTATAGCAAAAATACTCCACTGAGATTATAGATATTTGGTTTAGAATTAGAATTCTACACAACTAAAACTTGTGGATATCAAACCTGAATAATTAGAATAATTTTATTTTCACAGGAACCACCTCTCAATTCCCAAAAATCTCAGATGTCAGACAGATTTTCTGAGATTTGCTATTTAACTCTTAGCAGGCTGTTTTTCATGCCTCAGTTTCCTTGAAATTTTCTTCCTTCTTCATCACTTTTTCCTTTTTGTTGTTACCTGAGGAGAGGGGCTATCTTGTCTGAGTTTATTTGTAAGCTGCAGCCCTTTCCAGCTATAAGGAGGGGCTATAAAACGATACAGAACACAGCGCTAGATACAGTTTTAAAGCGAGAGGTAGGATTGCTGCACAGTCTGTTTTCAACTACATCAATGAAAAGTTTCCAAGTCCTTAAATTCTTTAATGGGGCGGAGGTTGCAGTCATCCGGCTCCATTACTTATAGGCAAGGAGCAATTCAGGCCCCCTTTCAGGAAGGGGGTCTGTGGCCAAGAGAGCCACGGCTGCCCTTCGCTCTCTTTGCCACGGTAGAAATCACCCTTGCCTCCCCCCCGCCCGTCAAATTTATTCCCAAGCGTGGAGAAAGAAGGGGAAGCGAGAGATTTATTTATTTATTTATTTTAGAAGATGCCGCCCGCAGGAAAGGAAGAGCCGAATCTGCAAACCGGAGGAGAGCGGGACTTACCGCTCTGAAGCGTTTGCTGTAGGAGCAGAAGGCTGAGCAAGAGCCAGGGCTTCATGGCAGGAGGGGCGAAGCGCAGCGGCCACGAAGCCTCTTCTTCGCCGCCTGCCACGAGGGATGCCCCCGGAGTCCGTGCCTGATCCGGGACTGGGCTACAGCGGGAAGGGAGAGCAGCTCCTTCCTTTCCCGCCCCCAAGGCCCCCCCCCTCTCAGGGCGGATTGGGCCTCTCTCCGACCCAGCAGGAATACTAGCCCCCCCCCCCCCATTTCATGGGGATGGCGAACACCGAGGGAAAGACAGGAAAGCCAGCAGGCAGGCAGCAGAGAGACGAACCCGGAAAGCTGACACCGCACGCTTCAAGCCTTCCAATGGCTAAACATTGTTTTTTTTTAATTGCATTACATAGAATTGTAATTCTTTACTATTATAACGACATACACTACATAGACTTTTGTCGTTATTTTTAAACTTAATTTTAAACACCTAGATATTTTTGACAGTATACGTACCTCTTTGTGTTTTGTTCCTTTGTTATTTTAAAAGTAAAAAAAATATATTAAAAAATTCAGATGGTGAACCAAGATTGCAATAATACTTTAATTATGGCAGTATAATATAATACAATAGTAGCTTTGAAACTATGTGCTTCCATAAATCTTGTTTATTTACAAAGTGGCAAACTATTAAAAGGATAATCACAAACTTGTTGAACATTGTTTAAAGTTCCTGTACATTTTTTTACACTATTTGAATATGATGTGTTTTTCTCTGCGCTGCTTTGTAATTTTTTTCTCAAACACAAATAAGAACAACAAAGTGATCTATGCAGCATATTTTTCAGTTTTATTTTAAAAAATAGAGAACAAATGCACAACCCTCTTCAAAGCAGTATTTTACAGTAAGCAACAGCAAGAACATTTTATCAGGCAAAGTGAAAAAAACCAAAGCACCAATTTACCTTTCTTTTACTATTTCACATGTTGCAAGTGATTATACATTAATAAAAGTGGATTTTTTTCCTTTAGTTGTTTACATAATATTGTGCCTGACTTTTACAAAAAGATTCTCCCCTTTAGTAAACAACAAACATATACACAGTAATAATTATTACAGTTATCTATCTACTTATATATACATAGGCAGTGATACAGCTAACTTTGTATAAAATGTTAGACATGTGACCTGTTATGAGGTTTATTCTAGTTTCCGAGATTTCCCACTCAACTGAGTTTTATGGGAGGTTGCCAGGAACAGAAAGAAAAAATACATATTTACAAAAACATTGGTTCACTACAAGTCACCCTACACAAGGCCCATTATAGTGAATTTTTCTCCAAACTACATTTGAATACCCTTTGCTTTATGATAAAATGTTTACACTGAAAACCCCCAACATAGGAGTACACGTATAAAATACTGTTTCTAGAGAACAAATTTAAAAAATCAATATACAATATACAAAAAGGTGTTTTATAATTCAGATCTTTCTAAAAATATTTGGACCTTCTGAAAGAATGGCTTGTAACTGGGGTAAAGATTCAGCCAACACAAGCCTGAATACAGCCAATACATTACAAGTAGTCCTTGACTTACAACTACAATTTCCATTGCTAAGCAAGATAGTTAAGTGAGTTTTTACTTATTTTACAATCTTTCTTGTCACAGTTATTAAGTCAGTCATTGAAGTTAGAACACCGTTAAGTGAATTTGGCTGCCTCATTGACTTTGCTTTGTCAGGTTGCAAAAGGTGATCACATGATCCCTGGACACTGCAACTATCATAAATAAGAGTCAGTTGCCAACTGTCTGAATTTTGATCACATGACCATGGATATGCTGCAACAGTCATAAATGTGAAAAATAGTCATAAGTCACTTTTTTCAGAGCTGTTGTAACTTTGAACAGTCATTAATAATTGGTTGTAAGTTAAGGACTACTCATATATACTTTTTCATTCAATGCTACATTACAAAGGACAAAAGTTGTAAAAAATTACAAAATCTTCAGATTTTTATGCCTAGGCATGTATTTTACTGAGGCTCCCTTATAGTGCTATTACATATTTCAAAATAAATAAGTACAGTTAAGTGATCACATCCAATTAGATGTGTGTGCTTTAAGAGTGACTGCAGGAAAATACAATTGCATTTTTTATTCTATTAAAAACAGAGACACTATTACCACTGACTAGCTCAGCCATAAGTACATGACAACTATTTATTGGACTGTATGCTGATTTAGGATTTACCTTCAGTTTTAATGGGGCTTATTCTCAGAGTAGTGTAAGAATATAACAAAGTCTATTGACAATATTACTAAGTAATACATTTAATAAGTGTGTATTTGCATTTACAGATGTACTTAGGTATGGGCCTAAAGATTTTTCCATCACGGAATCACCCAGCTTTTACCAAAGGAGCAAATGGGAAAGCCACCCCAAAAAACCACCCCAATCTCAAGAACTGTGTGAAGGTTTTGATCTAAGATGATTATATGTAAGTCTTAGGTTTAACATTTTCTGTGGAGTTCTTGGTGCTCTCTAAGCCTGGCTGTTTGCTTGCAGACATTTCATTACTCAACTAGGTAACATCATTAGAGCAAGCGGGGTTTGTTGTCTATATATGAACATTTTTTCTGAAGGTTTCTCTTGTATAATCTACAATGTACATTTTTCTATTAAAATTAAACAAGCTAGACGTATTTGTTATGAAAAGATATCTTAAAAACAGTTTAAAATAACTTTAAGTAGCTACTTTGAAAAGCTACTGTAGACGTAAAAAAATCTTCTTGGTTATTCTTTCATTTCCATAGTAAAATATCATCTATCTAATTTTATAACAGTTTGGGAATTGAATGAGAACTATTCTGTATGATCCTAAATAATGTAATTTACATGAAATTTCAGTCACAAGGTTGTGTTTTTCCACAGATGGTTCCTAAAATTTTAAAAATCTAGTTCTCTATTTTAATGATTTTCCTTCAGAAAGTAGTTCCCTAAATTTCATTTAAACAGAAAGACTATTTTTAAGGTCATGTATGTTTGCTGTTTTATAAGTAATAACACAAGTAATACATCCAGATATATAGTTTTTTGCATGTACAAAATTTCAGTATATATATCTGAGATGATCGAATGGTGATAGCACAGTTATTTCTTCAAAGTGCTTTCCCATTGCATGCATTTTTGTAAATGTTTTTGTATCCATTTATATAAACTTGAGCATAGAAAACTAAATGTAGTTGTATGCTTACATTTTTTAAAAAATAATTGTGCTCCCACATCTGCTTTTCATACTAAAGTCTGCAATGACATATTGGTTTCACAAGTTACACATAAATAAGCAGGCTGAAGTAGGAAAAATTAGTGCAAATGTAAGTACAGTATATTAAAGTAACACATAATTAGATATGGGTTTTTCAAAATATTCATTACCTTTGTTAGCATTTTATTGGTTGTTTAAGGAAAATGAACCTGAAAATTAAAAAAATAATCCTTACATGGTGAAACAGAGAGGTGAAAGTAAACCCTCTTGGACTCAAGAAAAAAGAATTTCTTTAGGACTTGCTGACACTTATACATGACGCTTCCTAAAATGGATTCTTATCCCAAATAATATGCTGGGAACTAATTTGCCCATCTTATACAATGTCAAGCCATAATCCTACCCAAAAGGTAAAGCCAGCAATGGGTACCAACACTGAAGGTGTCTCAACAGTGGGTACCAGCACGAAGGTGCCTACATTTGTTGGTAAACATACTTTATCCCAAAGACCTATCGCACTTAAACATTAGTGTTGCTAAAACATTTGAGCTATGTTTTTCATTTCCTCCTCCTCTCTCCAAATATATACATACCTCTATTTCATAAACAGAGGGAACATCACAAAAAAAATTATCCATGAGTTATTTAATAAATATTATATCACCTATGATGGCAAAAGAATTTGAAGAGAATTACTTCCTAGACAGGAAGAAGAATTTAGTGGCTATGTTTGGGTATTGTAGAGAAACCACAATTTATGGTGATGAGAACAAGTGGTAGTAGGCCCAAAGCTTGCACTGCCTGCTACTATTCACTGTCTGCTAAGGATCTGATGAAATGTGCAAACAGCAGTCAATGACCTATACAGAACATTTCAAATGCTTTGTAACAGGACAGAAGAACATGCAAGTTCAATGCTTATTCTACTCACCACATCCCCAAATCAGCCAGTTTCTGAATAGTTTTTTTTCTATATTTAATTGAATAATCTACCAAGTAGTATATAGGTGCACAGTTTTGCAGCCCAATCTCTGGCAGTGCTGACCTGCTCAGGACATTCATATATTAAGGAAGTCAACAGATGCATCAGCATTTTGCAAACTTCAGTTCCACAGAAGTGCCATTTTGCTAGTGCTTCATCATTTGTTTAAATTAATCATTCATTTGGAAATAAAACATAAACAGAATTTCAAACTAGATTTTCTATAAAATATATCTGTTTCAAATATTCTTAAATATTTTTTAGAAAAATTGTCACGATTTATACTGTGTACAGATAAGAGCAAAGCAGAAGTTAGATCAGATAACTGTTTTTTTTTCCCCCCAGGAATTTCTGAATCTGGGACCTTTCCCCACTGCTGAGCTGAGGTCATCTCCACTCATCCTTAAATCAGCACAATATTGTATTGGATTACATTTTCTATCCTTCTTGCCAGTCTCATCCTGTCACAATTGCTGTGTTCCCAGTCAGTGACCATTACCTCACTCTGCATTGCAAAATATAACTGAGTTTATACAGCTTGAGGCTACCTTTGATATAATGCACAGGTAAGGAAAGCCTCAGCCTCTCACAGGGTAGGGGCAACATAGAGCAACAACACAAAGAAGACATCACAGAAGAGGTGGCTGGTTTAGAAACAAGGCACAGAGAACGATGGAAATCAAGTAGCTATGTGATTATTTAGCAATGCTACCCTATTTTTAAAAGCAGTTAAGAATACGTCTCCATATTATAAACCATAATATTCAACTCTTCTTCTTTAGATACTCCTTGAGAACTAGTTATATATGCCAGTTAAAGTTGGAAGATGTTGTTAAGGAAATCACCAACATGACAGATGAATCAGATTGGCCCCCTTGGAAAATTTCCTCCACCTTCTTGCTCAGTTTTTTAAAGATTACAACCCTCTGAGGCAAGTCTCTGATGGAAGAGATACATAGCAACTAATTTAGATCATCTTTCATGTATTTCTACTAATGTTTCCATAAAGCACAAGTGGTTTACTGCTAATTTAGGAGGAGCAAGTAGTTCACCATTTCACCAGCAACTCCATTTGGCTGCCATCACTGCCTAAAAGTGCACACAACAGGTTTATCAGCATTCACTTGTCTTTTCATGTGGAATAAACTGAGCACTTTCACTTGCATGTTCAAGTTCACTTGTATCTCCCATATGCTTCTTTTCTGAAGTTTCGCTTCTTTCTGAGCAGCTGTCATCCTCTTCCTCTTCTTCCTTGGGACAGCTTTCCATACTATGCCGGATGCCATAGGCAAAGTAAATCAGGAGTCCTTTCAAAACAAAACAACTATTATTTTTTGTAGACTTGCCATATGTCAGTCAACTTTGTACAAACTCTACTGAAAATTACAATTTGATTTTTGACTTTCTCTAACTATGGTATTCCCACATATATCAAGCCAGCATCTAAATATTAACTTAACATTTATAGTCAAGAGAATCCCCATATACTGTTGAACTATAATTCTTGCTGTCTCACTATATGACACGTAAGAGAAAATTGTTACAAAACAAAATTTATTAAACAAATTTTAATAACTGGATGCAGAGAATTTTTATATTCATTCAGAAGAAAGACAAAGCTACATTTAGCACACACACACACACACACACACACACACACACACACACAACAGACCAAAAAAGAAAGAGCAGACAGGAAAAAAAATCTTATGCCATGACCGGTTTCCTTTTCTTGTTGCAAATGATTGTCAATGCCAGCTGAAACCAGTCCGAGAAAATTTCCTCTCCCATCAAGACATTTGTGCAAATATTTATGCAGATGCATACACCTGCACACACCCAGTAGACACTTTACAAAAAAGAGGGCAAGGAAATACCTACCGAATGCCATCCAGATGCTGAACCGGATCCATGTCTGTCCACTTAGCTGTACCATCAAGTATATATTCACTAAGATACTTAAAGATGGCAAGAACGGCAAGAACGGAACCTAAGAATAAATATTTCACAGTATTTACTAAAATACCCATACCCAACACTTTTACTTTATATTAAAATTTATAAAATTTAACTAAACGCTAGTTTCAAAATCTGTGGATTCAAAGCACACATTATGTCCGTATAACGTAACAACTAGAGATGAAACCATGTTGTTCTCCATACGACTGCATATGATCCCAATCTAAATTACACTTCAAGTACAGCAAATGAAATAATTGCCTAAATATTTATTTGAATAATATTTGAAATAGCAAATAGCATAGATGCAACAAAGTGATGCATATTAGCCCAATCTAAAAAGCTAGTAACATTTTCAGAGAAGGAAAGAAGGCTACTCAGGTATAATTTCTTTGCTACAAATCAATACTGGTTCTGTTAATTGAAGCATCCTATCCAAGTGCTTAGAAACATGTTGCTTGACCATCTATCTGTTAGAGGACCGTGCCCAAGATGATTTATCTGATGCACCTCTGGCTTCTTCCTGGAATTTCTGGGGTTGCCAAAAATAAATTATTATGACATTTGTTAATACAATTTATGTATTGATTTTTCACAGCAAAATTGCAGAAGTGATTACACCATTTCATGCCCCAAATAAATATATATCAAAAGAAGTCGCACTCCTCCTCCTTGCTAAAAATGAAAACTTGGTATCTACAAGCACACTCTTTACCATAAATGTCACTTTCTGCTGATTCTGAGGTTGTCTCCAGATGATAAGCATAATCATCACGAACAGTATGAAAAGAGACGCAAGAATAAAAATACTCCAAAGCTCCATATTTGCAAGTGAATGAATTCCATAGGTTGTCAGAATGCTTAATCCACAAACGAGGACAGCTAAGTGATGATAAAAGAAAATAAACTATTTTAGTATTTCAAAAATCTGAAAATTTGTGATATACACAAAAAATAGAAGTTAACGTCTTTTAAAAAGGAGAACCATAGATTTATATGCAGAACACACAAGTCCTCACTTCGGACTTGAATCAAAGGACTAATTTACTACAAAATATATGAATCCAATCTTTTAACTGCATTTTGCATATAGCAAATTTTCAAAGAAGTGAAAAGCATTCCAATAGGTTTGGACTTACCCAAAAGGGCCACAAGAAGGCTCACCACAGTAGCAGACTGTTCAGTTGGTAAACTTGATGGATTAATTAGCATTTGTAAATTAAACCTCTTTCTTGGTATCATGCTAATTTGAGATTCACTTTTACATTCGCCTTCTGATCCTGCAAGGGCCTCTTTTTCTGCTGAATATTTTGGTTGCTCGTAGTTTAAATTGGGTTGGTACCTGTATGTACAAACATGGGTTGCTAATGTAAAAACAAAATTAGCTCTAGAATACATGCTATTCAGCACTTATTTAGTTACAGTGTTTTAATTGGTTAGGGATCACCTAATTTTCAAGGAGTAAGGACCACTGCAATATTCTGGACAATCCTAAATTACATTTAAAATAATTTAATTTATTCTTTTAATATGATAATTTGAAATGGTATCATCTTATGAAATCTCACATAAGAGCATAAAGTTTTGGTACAATTTGTGAAATTTATTTTTTATGACCGGAGTTGCCACCTACAGGTTCAGGAGGCAACATGACATCTCAGTGTCACTATATTGTCAACACACTATTTAAATATTACAACCATTGCCTTAAATATGCATATCTTCCCCAGGGTTGAATCTTCACTAATACATAGTTTTGTTCACTTTCAAATCTGTACTGTAGAAATATAGGAAACACACATGGTCTGAAAACCTCTTATGATGATCTCATGCACAAGGTCAGCATTTAAATATATTGTCTGTTTCCGTAACTGAGACAGAAACAAAACTGTTTATACAAACATTATTTTACAGAAAAATATCTTTGCAAACTCACCTAAGTATGAGAACACAAGCAGCCACCAATGAGTATGCAAGAAGTGTGCCAATTGACATCATGTCTACTAAGGCTTTTAGGTCAAAGAGAAAAGCCATTAGAGCTAGAAGAAGGAGAAAAAACAGTATTTGCATTTAAGTATCTACATGTTAGGCAAAACGTATATATTTCTTATCATCATATGCTTAAGCATTTAATATTTGTTTCCAGAGTTTGTTGAACTGTTTGCAGTTTCTGATAAAATATAATTATATAAAACTTGAATAGAATAAAGCATTGCTATATGACCATTAAAGTCTGTCCATGATAGTAATTTTTTATAACCTGCTTGAGATAAATAATTCATTCATGAAAGCTTTTGTTAAGTTAAAATTATTCTCAAATCAACTGCAATGTTTGGGTTTTAAAATGCACAATGCCAAAAAATCCCCCACAAAGCCTTATTCTATATGAAAGTCACAGTAACTTTAAAAAGCATGCAGACGATTTAGGTAAACTTTATTGTGAATGACCCATCTGAGCAAATTAAGAAAATTTTGAATCAAACTGATAGGGTACAGATAGATAGGAAGTATTCTGATAACTGTGGTCATGGTTAATCTTCTGTTTCTTGCAGAAAGCTCATGCAAAGAATTTTGAACTCTCAGGCATCCATAAAAGACTATCTCTCTTTAAACAGTGTTAAAACAAATAAAATGTATTGGGTTATTTTACTAAAGAGATAGTAGATAGACTGTTAAGAGGAAAGAAAATTAATCACATTGTCTTCTCTGTTGTTTTGTTGATTAAAAGAAACATGATACTCTTATAACCATCAATTTTACTTCAAATCACAGACTTTTGTTTATGAAGAAACACAGCCTCTATTATTTCAAGGGTAACATGCAACTACTACTACTCCTAGTAATTGGAAAGAAATATAAAACAACTTGCAAGTAGAATTAGAAAGACTGCACAAATCGGTAAAATAAAGAAAATGTTCTTTGTATATTATTACTTCCTGACCCTTTTTTTTTTTTTTTTTTTGCTAATGAACCCATCATACATATTATGGGAGCAAAAGACAATCAGCATTTTTTTCAACTGGCTAAATAATCTGAACTGGCAACTTTTTTGAAAAATTCAACACTGTTTAAAATGGAGACATAATACATGCTGAGATTGCAACTGTTTAAAATGGAGAGGGTATCAAGCAGTTTTCATGCCACTTTCCTTTGGCAAAATATGCTGCTGAGCATGGCTTAAAAAGAGATGCAGAGATTGAATGTAGAAAAGCGTATATGAAAATTGTACAAAAAGCACAATGGGAACATTGAAAAAACAGTAAACTATCAAGGTAATCAACTTACTCTTTATTTCACACATGTACCAGGCAGTATCATTGTTCACACTGGAGGAAAGCTTTGGAGAAGAATTCTAAGGAGCTCGTTCTTCCACCACCACCATAATCATAATTGAAATGAAATATGCCTTCTGATTAGTCAGCACTCTGTTCCCAATTTACATGCACAAACCGCTAGCAAGCAAGGCCCATCATATCACAGAGCCATGCACGGGAAAACAGGTCTCAGTCAAGAAACCTCAACATACAGAGCTTACCGGATATGAGCCCTGCTGTCAATGTGGCAGCAACTGGAGACTGCCTCTTGCTCACTTTGGCAAGAAATCTAAAGAGTAAACCATCTCGTGCCATGGCAAACAGAATGCGAGGCAAAGGGAACATAGAGCCCAGAAGACTAGAACAAAAAATGTAATTGTTCAAGTGGCGCAGTAACAACATTACATGCCAAAGCTAATTCAACATACAGACATAGATAGAAATGGGTGCATTTTCTGTCAAATGCACTTGTATCCAGGTTTTCCAACCGACAATGTCTGTGACAGACAAAAATAATATTTTTACTCAGAGAATCACAATTTAGTACTTGAGTTGCAATAGAACACAGTCATAACTATCCATGTGTCACTCTGAAGGTTGTTTGTGGCTGAAGGCATCCACTGCCTTACAATACATTCACTTAGGATCTCACCTGCGACAGCCCCTGATGATAAAGTTGCAACAAGTGGAGTCTTCGTTTTGGGGTTGATTTGAGCTAGACATGAGAAAAGCAAGCCATCCGATGCCATAGCATAGATTACACGAGGCATGGGGAAAATGGATCCAAGGAGACTGAATAAAAAGCAAAAGAACATGCAACATGGCCAACACCAATTCATGCAATTCATTATAGAAAAGCAAAACAATACTAATTAACAGTAAGTGATTCCGAACATGGTACTTCGGCAAGGAGGTGATATGATATACAAGACAATAACTACAGTTAAGATACAAGTTTCCTGAATCCATTGGTTTTTAAATGGTACAAAAATACCATATGCAGACTTTTTTTGGAAGGACTTATAGTGTGGTTCCAATATCTGATATACATCATTCACATCATTCATTTTTATGGATTGAATATTAATTCATTCCAATATCATTCATCATACAGATTATATAATGTAGCTCATGACCAATGTATGCTAATATTGTCCTAAACATCTAAAGAGTGTAATAATAACATTCTCTTAAACAATATCACAATATTATCACTTGATCTTATTTATCTTTTTTTTCTTATTCATATTGTATTCAAATTTTGTTTGTCCTATTGTGTTCTGCCCACATCATTTGATTCTGGAATCAAGCGATGCCTAAATCAAGTAAATTATTATTATTGTAGTATTGATAATATCTACTATAGTATGTTGTACCTTATATAATTCTAGCCTATGAATAAAATTTGTTTCAAAATAAAAACCCACCTAACAGTACTAATAGAACAAAATATAGGTAGTCCTTGACTTACGGCCACAATTGAGCCCAAAATTTCTATTGCTAAATGAGACATTTGTTAAGTGAGTTTTGCCCCATTTTACCTTTCTTGCCACAGTTGTTAAGTGAATTACTGCAGTTGTTATATTAGTAACACGATTGTTAAATGAATCTAGCTTCTCCATTGACTTGGCTTGTCAGAAGGTTACAAAAGGCAATCATATGATCCTGGGACACTGCAACCATCATAAATGAGTCAGTTGCCAAGCATCTGAATTTTGATCACGTAACCATGGGATGCTACAATGATTGTTAAGTGTGGAAAATGGTCATAAGTCACTATTTTCAGTGTTGTGGTAACTTTGAACAGTCACTAGATGAACTGTTGCAAATCGAGGAATACCTGTATTTGTAGTTTAGGGTTAAATTGTGGGTCCTTGGTGTTCTCTGAGCTTGGTTTCCTTGCAGATGTTTCATTACCAAACAGATGATTTTACCTAGTTTGGTAATGAAACATCTGCAGGAAAACCACCAAGTTCAGAGAGCACCAAGGACCCCACCTAACAGTGCCAATCACCAAACCCAAATTATTCTCTCTCCAGTTTATACAAAGTAAGTGTATTATTGTCATGTCAACCAGATTTGTGATATGATAAAAAGCTTTAAAAAAGAAAAAAAATATGATTAGCCTAATGAATTATTGTAAAGATTCTATATGGTACATGAGATATTTCCCACAGGTATATTTTTAAATTGGGGAGAAAAGTCTTGATTTAACTCGCTGAAGTTGAATAATATCTGTAATTTTTAGTGATTATGACTGGTTCCACAACTATAATGTTTGCAATAAAATACTGACAATTATATAAAACTTTAATTTCATGGGTCCAATTTAGCAGATGTTTGGGTGCATGGACAAAATAAGAATTTACACTGAACTGTCAAATGATTGTTGAATCAAATTTAGATAATTTACATTAAAAAGACTTGGCTTTAACCAATTTTCAGTTTCAATAGGCCCACCTTCCCAATTTTTCCTTAAAATGAAAACTTTGTTTTAATTACTAAAGTAGCTTGTATCTTCACTGTAGTTTTTCCAAAACAATGTACCAGTAAGATGTATCTTGGCATAATGTAATTAAGCATAACCACATCTTGAACAATTGCATCAGGCAGCAGAATTAAAAACAAGCAACAAATATCCCTGCAATGATTAGGTCCTTATCAAATATCAATAACAAAATATATATAAATAATTTGAAATGACATGCCATTCTTTTTAAATGGTCTACTACATTACCTTAAGTCTACCAACAGCAAACTTTATGCATTTCCACTTTAGGTTTATTTCTCCTTATTATGGCTTATATGATAATAGTGCATAATTAAGAAAAGAGTTATACGTCTTATTCTTGGACTACACAAACATCTACATTATTTTAAAAGAAATGAATAGTCTATATACTATATATTACATAATGGAATAAAATAACAAAACTACTGTGGTTTAAAATAACTATGATTAAGACTAGTATGACACAAACCTACATGCCTCCATTACAACATTTCCAAGGAGTACCATTCTGCAATATTTGTGTCAATTAACCAGCATTTACAAGGTCAGTGCAATTAAAATCTGGTTATAAGGACAACATTGTTTAATATTAAGAAATAAATGAATGAAATATTATGGTTAGAACGATCTAAGCAAGAGAAATACAGTTTCAGAGATCTAAATCTGACGCAATTATTGGACGCATACACTTAAAAGCAAATATTTTAGGAATTTCAATTGAATAATTTTGAAAAGAACTGCTCCTTTTTAGCTGAACTGCTAAAAACTGATCTTTTCAATGTGATTTAAAAAAAAACTGGGGCTGAACAAAGGGGCTGTAATATATTAATATTATCCACTATGAATATTTGTATTAACTCTGTATAATGCTTAGACTATATTCATCAGACTATGATTGACTGAACAGTCCATTCACTCACTTCTCCATACTAAGTAGCACACAGATTAATAACTTAAGTTACACATCAGGATTTGAAGTAGAACACATTATATTATTTACAACTATCCTGATTTATACATGTAATGAAAAATTTAAGAAGTCTTATTTTGTCACTAAATTATTTACTGACAATTGTTTATTTTTCCTTATTTTACCTTGTTGATAAAGCACACAGAGATCCGACTGCTACAAGGTATTTTGCTGGACCCCATCCAACATACTCAAATGCTACAGGGAGAGGACTTTTCTCATCAAGTAAATAGTATGGCATCATAAGTGTCAAAGCAGCTGAAACTCCAAAATAGGCCAGAAAGCAGACAAGTAGAGATGCTACAATTCCAATAGGAATGGCCCTCTGAGGATTCCTGACTTCTTCCCCTACGAGGAGAAAATAAATGCAATTACAGTGACTATCAAATGTGGAACATGTTGGATACAGTATTCAAATAATAAAAGGCCAATAAGAATGAAACATCTAGAATATGTACCCAAAACAAGAATAATTATCTAAATCTATTGGAAAACCTACATCTGGTTGCAATGGCTAAAAAATTCTTGACTAAATTTAGCATGGCAATATGCTTATGTATTTGATTTAAAGCACATAACTCAAACATGTTTATTCAGAAGACTCACTGTGGTCATTTCTACTCTCTAAACTCACTGACTGACTTTGGGCCAGTCAATCTCTCTCAGGAAAATCACAAATAAAGACTGTTGTGGAGATAAAATGGAAATCTGTTTATGGGCTATCTTTTAGAAAAAAGGTGAGATCTAAGACTAACTAATCAGTAAATGTGTTGGCAACTGCAATCTGGGTATGATTGGCATTGGCAAAGTACATAAAGAATCTTTATAGAGGAAAAAACAACTGCACAGAGTAACAAAGCTCTTTCAATAGTATGTTGTTTTGCTGTTCTTCTTGTAGTAGCAGTTAAGAAGGTCCCTTTCAACTTTGATGATGATAATGAAGAAGAATAAGAATGATGTAATGCAGTGGCTTATCTGTGGGAAATCTACTGCTTTCTTCCAAGAGGAAATCGTATAAATTAGCAAACCTTTCCAACCTTCTTCCCTTGCCTGGATTTTTTTCTTAAAGGGCAGCTAATCCTGTATTTATCACTGCTGCTGTGAAAATATGAAGCTTGCAGCCTTGCTCCTTCAATGGAATGAAGTAATATATTTTACTCCAAAGGAAGTTTCATATACAAGAAATTCAGTTGGACCTGCATCTGCATAAAATATAGGATTGCCCCTTAAAGCAGAAAAGATCTGCACATTCATCCAACATGGTGCTAAGAGCAACTAACAACATCTCAGACAGAAATCTCAAAGTTATTGGTAATGTTACTTAAACTTGAGTTATTGTAAAACAAAGAGCATAACATGCGTGCATTCACTATCAAGATATGAGGCTAGTTGTGGGGAAAATAGGAGGAGGCAGGCGTATTAGTTATTTTCACCACTTTGAATTATTTATAAAAATTATGAAGTGTATGGAAAATGGACATATGAACTAAGAATACAATCTATCTATCCATCCATCCATCCATCCATCCATCCATCCATCCATCCATCCATCCATCCATCTATCTATCTATCTATCTATCTATCTATCTATCTATCTAACAATTTCCAGTAAAACATCACAATTTTAAAAGCTCACCAGTAGTTGCAATGCAATCAAATCCTATGAAGGCATAAAAGCACGTTGCAGCACCGGCTAGTGTTCCGGTAAAGCCGTATGGCATGAAGCCACCAACTCCAAATATACTTGTCACATTCTCAGAGGATGATAGATTTCTAAATATACAATTAACAATTTAGAACAATTTTAGATTTGTCACCTATTGTAATTATCAAACAATCCTAAAACAATTATTATCTTTTCATAGTTGTGGCACTACATAGATTGGTGGTGTTAGTCCAGCAATATCATTAGTTTCCTGCCTTCTTCACAAATCTTCAACTCCACTTCATAAGGCAATATAGCTGACAAAGACTCACAATAGAAATGAAATGTTTCTTTTCTATTTCTGCTAAAATACCAATACTGACTAAAATAATTGTTTTTTTCTATAATCCTGCAAATTTTCACCATTCATACCTAGATGAAGGGCCACACATTACTATCATAAAAGGGATTGCAGATCTGTGGCAAACTTTCCATAACAGTTATAATTTTAAGACTACAAAGCTTAGAGTGCATTATAATTCACAGGCTTCTTCCCAGTTTTAGTGATAAGGTGACAAAATGGAGAAATAAAGACTAGTGTGGTTTGTATCTTCCCCAAGTAAAGGTGGAAGATCTGAAGTGACTGATTGAACCTGGTCCCATTTTCTGTCTGCTCAGTAGTCCTGGGTATTTCCCATACCCAGGTTAATATGGTGGTAACTTTAGTCAAAACTTTACTGTGTGAAGTAAATAGGAATACAATACATTTCCCTTCCTCTTATTTTTCAAGAGGGATCCAATCCATTAAACTGTAGTTTAGCATGTACAATGCAAAAACATCCACACACAAAAACATGAAGACTGCAAAAGTACCATACTTGCCCCTTAAGCCATCCTCACACCTTATGCTATTTGAAACAAAACACCAAACCACAGTTTCGTTTGGGTAAATTTCTGAATTAAATATCTAATAAAAATTAGATATTATGTAAATTTCTGCATTTATTTTTAAATTGGAACAAGTAACATAATTTTAATTATTAACAGGATCTGTTATTGTTAAAAATCTTCCTTGGGTCAAGGATGACCCCAGTAACTTCACAGGCACGTCAATGTAGTCTTCTTGGAAATTACATGAAAATGATTTGCCACTGCCTTCTTCCGAGACTTTAAATTTTCCAATCTAGCCCTCAGCTCTGGGATTTCCTTAATTTCCCACCCAAATCGCAAACTTCTTAGTATTTCAAAATCACCCACACTCAGCTAGATGCCACTAACTATTATAGATTGATAGGAGCTATTATCTTTTATTTTATGATTCCCAATTTGTATGAAACAAGATAAAAAATAAAAAAAGGAATGTCATCTCTGGCTGATTAGAAAAGAAAGAGGAATTAAACCATTGCTTTCCAAAGAAAGTCTGGTTGTACTACGTTCCTAAGAAGAAATAACATTATTAGATTGGATCACAGCCTACTCCTTGACCTATAACTTCTAATTTATCTGCAATTCCTGTTCCCTACATTCTCTGTCAACAGATATCAAATATGAGAAATAGCATTTTGATAGCCTCCACCCATCTTCAGATGGGAGGCTATGTGAGCTAAATCTGGGATATGGACAGAGATTCCTAATTCTTAGTTTAGTGTGAACTGTAAATGCTCTCAGAACAGAAAAGATGAGAGAAGGAAAGAGAATATAAAACAAGAAAACCCATATTACTTTATTTCTGCAGTGTAGTTTATCAGAAATTCTTCAGTTCTCTTCCAGTTATTAATGTTGCCTTTCACAAAGCCAGAAATCATAACGAAGAGCAGAACCAAGATGTTAACAGCAGTGAAGACTTTATTTACCCATGCAGATTCTTTTACTCCAAATGATAAAAGTCCTATAAAAGAGATGTTTGAGTCAAAACAAGATCTCTTAATGTTCCTAATACAATTATTATACCTGATCATACATACAATAACATATCTGTCTATATGTATAATGCAAGCCTCTACTGGGCGTAGATGCATAGTGTCTGCTTCCTGTAAGACTACCACTTAACCTCCAAGGCAGAAGAACTGTGGAAAACATAAGAAGATAGGCCAATAATATCATCAGATGCAAATAATACATTATTCACACTGTAGTCAACAGTGAGCTGCAGTGAATACAAATAGATCTTGTTTAACAACTGTCCTGTTTAATGATCATTCATAATTATGATGGTGATGAAAAAAATGATTTTATGACCAATCTTCCCATTATGAACTTTGCAGATCTGTAAAGCAAACGAAAACTGAAGTAAGATCATAAGCACAATTGCGATTTTACTTAGTGACCACTCTGCTTAACAACCAAGCTGCCAGTCCTAGTTGTGATTGCTAAATGAGGAACCTATATACAATTGTGTATTTGGTGATTATACAGAGAAACCCCAAACACAATCATTGACAAATAAAGGGCCCAAAACAGCTCTTACTCTAAAAGTGCTACTAAGAGCAAAATTAACCATTTTACTTTTAATTCAAAAGAATAATTCAGGTGTAATTATACCTTTGAAATAAGGACTGATTCACAGATTTGCAGCACAAGATTAGACTTTTGACTGCAATTACCTAAATCAGTTGGTATTCTTGTACACCACACTATAACTTGGTGTGAATCTAGCAATACATATTATAAAACACATTTTTCATTGAACAAAGATTATGGCCATAGAAAAATGAACATTAAAAGTACTGTCTGTACCTGCTAAGAGTAATATTAGACAGACTGCAAAAAAATCTGGATATTCTGCTAAGCCAGAGTAATTCATTCTGAAGTAGGTTTGGAAAAAATAACCAATTTGTTTTCCAAGAAGTTCATCAAAGGTTCCACTCCATGCTCTTGCAACACTTGAAGTACCTTTGCGATAAACAACAAAAATGTGATATATTTGGCAGATCACAATGGCAAATAGCACAAAAATACTGTTCAATTCAGTCTTTTAAAGTTGTGATGGCATTCTGTAATTATGTTATCACACTAATTTCAAAAAAACTTTCCAGTCTTATGCCTGAACCATCATGCTAAAATGATATCAAATAAACACTACAAATAAAATGTTCATTCATATTTTAAAGATGTCTAACTTTTTATGTGGCCTAGATTGCATAAATAGTCATGGGAAAAATAAATAAATTAAAACTCAAAATTCTGGAAACAACATGGACACATCATGAATTCTAGAAGCACACTGCAATTCTATCATTGCCAAATATTGAGACCAAACTATTCTACCACATTTCAGTGGTGAATAGCACAAGGGTTATGAGGGCTACCTATAGCCTGTAGGCAATTCACTCCAATATATATAGAAATAATTTACTTTATAAGTAATTAGGAAAACCTGCTTTGGAGTAGACAGGGGCATAAACATAGTCCTTGCTTGAAATTTTTTAAAAGCAATCTTACTCTATAATATATATTCAGATGAATATCAAAACAATTTTTTTAAAGTCAAAGCATGACTTTGACTTTGAAAGTGAAAACAAACAGTGCTGATAAAAAATCAATTGAAACTTGAAATAGGCTACATATCTTTAGTATATACACACAAGTGCAATCCACTCTAAGGGATAAGCTTACAGCATTGTTTCACTTCTCTGATATTTCATACTGGGTTATATAAGTAGGTATTTCTTAACATTGCAATTTATTGACCAAATATTGGGGAGGTAACGTTAATCCAAACAGGATAGAGTCTTTTTTAATCAGCAGAATTATTTTATCAGAAGAATTATCAGGTAACTAATGAGTGCTACTTAAAGTGAAAAAAAAGAGTAACGTTAAATAGAAATTTTTTTAGCTTTAAACTTTTAAATAATATATATGAATGACTAACAAATCAGCTGCACACTATACTGAATGTATCTTGAATCATACAAAAGCTCCTTCTCTAACAGAACAATATCCATGTCAAATTAAGTCTCTTTAAAAAAGAAAAAAGAGAAGAATTAAGAAAAAGCGAAGCTCTATCTATCCTGGAAGAGAAAAAATAGGGACTGTAACCACACTATCAATAATCTTGGATCTTTTCCAAGGTGTAAACTAATGATCCACATCTATTCCACAATAAATAGTTTTAATAACTGACTGAAATAAATAATTGTTTAATATGTAATTAAAACTGATTGATAAAATAATGCTTGATGAGATACTGATCAAGATGAGGAAAAGGGGCGTTGTCTTACCTGAACGCCTTTTCTCAGCAGGATGATGTAGAGTCCAAATGGATGGGTTCTATGACGGCCTTCCTGCCTGGCAGACTGGGTAAAAACTTCGGCCACACCCCTTCCTTTGGGCGTGACCCCAGTTTTGACTTAGGCGAGAAACTTTGTTGGAATTAACCTTGCAGCTCTTTATTATATCTTTATTATAACCCTGCCTAGACCTATCCTCTGGGTGGGCTTGGACTCTACATCATCCTGCTGAGAAAAGGCGTTCAGGTAAGACAACGCCCCTTCTCCAGCAGGATGGCTGTAGAGTCCAAATGGATGGGACATACCAAAGCCCTCATGTCCCCCTGGGAGGGAATGTCTAGGCTACCGAACTCTGAGCAGATACGACTTGTTGAAGAACTCTTCTGCCAAAAGCCGCGTCTGCTGCTGCTAGGGAGTCTAAACGGTAATGTCGAATAAAAACCGAAGGTGAGGACCAGGTTGCGGCCCTGCAAATCTCTTCCACCGGAGCTTGCGTTAGCCACGCCGCAGATGTAGCTGCGCTCCGAGTTGAGTGAGCAGTCACCTGAGTGGGTGCTGGCAAATCCTGTGAGACGTAGGCCTGCGCTATGCAGGCTCTGATCCACCTGCCTATGGTGGAAGGAGATACCTTCTTTCCCATAGTTGCTGGTTGAAAGGACACAAATAATGCTTCAGTCTTTCGGAAAGCCGAGGTGCGTTTCACGTAGAAACACAGCGCTCTCCGCACGTCCAGCTTGTGCCATCTGTGTTCTAGTCTATGTTTGGGTCTTGGACAGAAATCAGGAAGCGAAAGTTCCTGAGATCTGTGAAAGATGCTATTTACCTTCGGAATGAAGGTCGGGTCTGGTCTAAGAACGACCCTGTCTTTGAAAAAGGTACACAGATCCTTCCTTACTGACAGTGCTGCTAGTTCTGAGATTCTTCTTGCTGAAGTAATTGCCACAAGGAAAGCTACCTTCAGTGATAGGTGATGGAGTGAGCATGTTTCAAGAGGTTCGAAGGGTGCTGATGTCAAGGCTAGAAGGACCTTAGGCAGGTTCCAGGACGGGTACCTGTGTATGACTGGGGGCTTTGTGTTAGATGCCCCTTTTAAAAAGGCATTAATAGCTGGATGCTGTGCTAGGGAAGTTAAGTTGTCGCAGGAGAGTACAGTTGAGAGGGCCGATATCTGTCTGCGGATAGTATTGACTGACAGGCCCTTATTAAGACCCTCCAGTAGGTAATCTAGGATATTGGGAATAGATACTGCGGTCGGGTCTAGGTGAAGCGAAGCGCACCACCTACAAAATCCCTTCCACGTAGCGTCATAAATCCTATTAGTGGACGCTCTTCGTGATGCCTGTATGATCGATATCACCCCTGCAGAATAAGATTGTTTAGTTAAGCTTTGCCGCTCAAATGCCAAGCGGCTAGTTGTAGCCACTGGGGATCTGGGTGTACAAGCTTGCCCTGACTGAGTTTTACCTTGTCCGGGGGGATCCTCCACGGAGGTGATATCGAAAGGTCCACGAGGTCGGCAAACCACGGGCGCCGTGGCCAGTGAGGGGCAATGCAGACCATTTCTGCGCCCTCCAGGATCGTCTTGCGTATGGTTGCCGGTATTAATGGCAGTGGTGGGAAGGCGTACAGGAGTTGCGCCGGCCACCGGCACCTGAGAGCATCCGTTCCCTCCGATCCCGGGGACGGGAATCTGGAGAAGAACCTGGGGAGCTGTGTGTTCTTGTGGTTGGCAAATAGATCTAGGTGCGGTTGTCCGAACCTCCGGGAGATCTCCTCGAAGAGAGCCGGGTCCAGACGCCATTCCGACTGGTCCACCTTGGCTCTGCTCAGGGAGTCTGCCTGGGTGTTTGTCTCCCCTGAGATGTGTTCCGCTCTGATGGAACTCACATTGGCTTCTGCCCACCGAGCCAGAGCCAATGCTTCCTTCATTAGTTCCACTGATTTCGTTCCTCCCTCCTTGTTTACATGCGCCTTGGCTGCTACATTGTCTGTAAGCACGAGGACGTGCCTCCTCGTTACTAGGTGTGAGAAATGACGGAGGGCCAGGTGTATGGCCCGGAGCTCTAGCCAGTTGATGCTGTGTGACAGGTCCTTCTGACCCCACTGGCCCTGTGCTATCTGGGTCCCCAGATGGGCTCCCCATCCGAACAGGCTCGCATCTGTCGTGAGCGTGACCCTGTTCGGTTCCCTGAATATGCTCCCCTTGAGTGTCATGGGGGATAGCCACCATTTTAGTGATTTCATCACCTGTGCTGGTACCGGCACTCTCCTGCTGGAGGTGCTGAGGTTCCTCCTCTGGTAGGGTAGGAGGAACCACTGCAACTCCCTCGAGTGGAGCCTTGCCCATGGGATGATGCCCATGCAAGATATCATCTTCCCCAGGAGCTTCGAGAGTTGTAGCAAGGGCACTCTCCTGATCTTTTGAATTTGGTGGATTAGCTTGGATATGCTGATCAGTCGCTCCTGGGAAAGGAATACCCTGCACTGTGACGTGTCTATCACCGCGCCCAGGTGTTGCAGTCTCCTTGAGGGAATGAGGTGGCTCTTGTTTAGATTGACCGAGAATCCGTGCCCCTGTAGGGTTCGGATCGTGGTCTTGAGATCTGCCCTTGCTTGTTCCTGAGATCTGGACTGAATCAAGATGTCGTCCAGATAAAACTGTACGCGAACCGGCATCAGCCTGAGATGGGCTGCTATTACAGCTAGGATTTTGGTAAATACCCTTGGTGCTGAAGATAGTCCGAAGGGTAAGGCCCTGTATTGGTAATGCCGGCCCGCGTAGGTAAATCTGAGGAATTTCCGGTAGCTGGGATGGATGGGAATGTGTAGGTACGCCTCTGTGAGATCTATTGAGGATAATAGATCGTCTTCCCTGACGCTGGCTAGGATGGACTTCAATGAGTGCATCTTGAACCTCCTGTACTTTATGAAATAGTTCAGGCCCTTCAGGTCCAAGATTGCTCTCCACCCTCCTGATGTCTTTGGGATAACGAAGAGGATAGAATAAAATCCTCTTCCTTCCTCTTCCTTTGGTACCTTCTCTATTGCTTGAATTGACAGGAGGTGATCTATGGCCGAAGTTATCAGCCTTGTCTTGTGTGCTCTTCTGGAGATGGGACATCTGATGAACCGGTTTGGAGGGGGAGAACAGAAGTCTAAGGTCAGGCCATGCCTGATCGTTTCCAGGACCCAGGCGTCGGTAGTGGTCTGTTCCCAGACCTCGGTGAAATTTCCTAACCGACCCCCGATGGGTGTATCCTGTTTGGCGTCACTTGGTACGCTTAAAGGATCTGCCTCCCGCTCCTCTATATGGGCGTCTGGACTGGAACTGGCCCCTGGCTCCCGGGCTTTGGCGATCCTGGGTTCGATCCTGTCTCGGGTAGAAGGATCGTGAGCCTCTGGGCCAGTCCCAGGATTGCCCTGATCGAAAGGGCTGCCTCCATTCCCAGGGGCTTCCTGGGCGGGAGCCCTGCCTCCGGAAGTCCTGACTGCCTCTCCTGTCTAACTTCTTTGATGGATGTACTAGGATTTTTTTCTTGTCTCTGCCTTCGCTGACATGTGGATCCAGAATGGAACCAAATAGGGCCTCTCCACTGTATTTGGACGTCGAGAGACGCCATTTGGACCTCAGGTCTGTCTTCCAGTTTTTGAGCCACAGTAGCCTACGCGAGGCCACTGTAGCCGCAATGGATCTTGCCGCATACTTTGTTGCGTACAGTGAAGCGTCAGACATGAACTGAGAGGCCGCGAGGAGTTTGGCCAATGTCTGGTGTACTCTGACCTGGTCTGGAGGCACCGTGCCCTGCAGTTCCCTCAGCCACATGATGCAGGCCCTCGCGAAGAATGATGATGAGGTGGCTGCTCTGGCCGCCCAGGCTGCAGCCATGTGGGAACGCCGGAAGGAGTGTTCAAATTTCTTCTCCTCAGGTTTCAAGACCTCCGCCATGTCTCCTGGAATCGCGGAGGTAGAGAATAATGAGATCAAGGGGTTATCTACAGTGGGAACCTCTAACATGTTAGAGAAGGAGGGAGATAGGTTGAAAAGCTTTCTTTCCGCGCTGTTAGGTGCCGGTGGGCTTGCAAGTGAGGACCATTGTTCCTCCAGCGTGGTCATGAAGACCTCCGCACATGGAATGTACTTGTCCTGTGGGACCTTTTTGGCAAACAGAGGGTTGGCCTCCTTGCTAGTCGATGGCCTCTCATCCTGTACTGATGTTAGGCTGACTGTGGAAACTGCCTTAATCAGGAGTGATTTTAGGAGCGCTGGGTTAAAGAGGCCAGAGCTCGTCTCCTGCTCAGGTGCGGTTTCCTCGTCCTCCGATAGGGGCATGTCTGACATGTCAAGATCTACTGAGTCACCCTCTCCTAGTTGAGAGGAAGATTCAGAGATGTTGGTAGGGGGTGGCCTAGCTCGTCCCTTACGGGGTGTGTGAAAGGCCACTTGCCCTTTGGAGGCCATGAATTGGGAGAATGCATCCTGCATGAATGCCTGAAATCGTGCCGACCATATGTTCTCCTGCGCTTTGTCGCTGGGGTGAGGCGCTGGAGTGTGGTCGGGTGAGGGAGAAGAAGCTGGTGAGGAGGGATTGGAGGAATCTAACTGTTCAGTTTCCCCAGGAGGAGACCAAGTCTTGAGCACTTCCTCGGCAGTAGGTTCTGTGCTGGTCGCCACTGGGACAGGGGAAACCAAATTTGTCCCATTGGCATTGGATCTCTGTGCCCTGCTAATTTGTCTTTCTAAAGCCAAATGTCTCCTCAGAGCCTCTCGCTCAGCCGTTTTAGACTGTCCCTTCTGAGTAAGGTGCTTTGTTTTAGCTTTCTTCTTCCCCCCCACCTCTGATTCAGAGGATCTGCGTTTTCGCTGCTGTTGTGGGGGGGACAATTGAGGGACCTGTGTGACTGAATACGAGACATTGTCTGCCATTGTGCCAGACACCCCGAGTAGGAAATGCCTGGGATGGGGGAATGAGGTACGCAGATCAGAGGCAGATGCTTGGGACTGTGCCCTCCTCTGCCTATACAAACAATGGCCGGACAGACAGGATTCTTTGGACCGAAGATCCTGCAAGGCAGTGACTAAAGGCCACTATGGGAACAGTTAGGGAAGAATGTTCCTCCTCACCTCCTCACCTAGTCCAGACAAGGTGCAGTTCATATGTCTCTCTCTCTCCCCCAGTCTGTGGCTGTGGCAACAGACCACGATAGGAAACGGTTATTTTACTTTCCCTCTTCCTTCCTCTGTCTCAGTTTCCTTGGGTAACCTCAGATCCTTGCAAGGGAAAAAGCCCTTTGTTTGCCGGAAAATGGAGTCCGGGTGAAGGCCCCGCCCCCAAGGGGAAACGGCGGGAAGATCAAGTTCCAAAATGGTGAATGGGGAAGAAGCCACGCCTCCCAATGGAAGCCCGGGAATCCACGAGGTTCAAGAGTAATGGCGGATCCTGATTTTTGCAATCAGGAAGACTCCTCTAGTCATGAGGGGCTGCGCCTTTCCTCTGGGTATAGGGGAATTCAGCGCCGGCTTTGCTCTTGCCGCGCTGTTTATCGCGCCGCTCAGCTGATCGCAGCCGAGCGGCGACCTGGTTTGCCGCTTCCCGCGCGGCTCAGCTGTTTCGCGCCGTGGCGTTCAGCTCCCTCGGCCAGGCTGCTCAGCTGTTGGGAGGGCCCGGAGGGCTACGCGCAACCCGGTGAAAACCCCCCCCCCGCGCCGAACAGCTGCTCGGCGGGCCGGAAGAAAGCGAGCGATCCGGCCCGTTCCGAGCCTCCCCGGCTAGCCCCACTCACGAGTCCGCCGATCCTGTTCTAATCGCTGCCGGGAAGTTTCTCTTGTCAAGGGAAGAAGAGGGGATTCCTTTTTTTTTTTTTTTTTTGAGTTTAAATTCGTTTGTTTCTGAGAGCTGCCTCTCGCACTTGTACCAGGCTTCGAGACTGAGTCAAAACTGGGGTCACGCCCAAAGGAAGGGGTGTGGCCGAAGTTTTTACCCAGTCTGCCAGGCAGGAAGGCCGTCATAGAACCCATCCATTTGGACTCTACAGCCATCCTGCTGGAGAAATTTAATGTATCAAGCAGTTTGCAAAGTTCCACAACTTTACTGATTTGTGTCATACTCTTTAGAAAAGCTTCCCAACACCTTCTTCAGCATGGCATATAATACATGAACACTGGCTTCAAATAACAATCAGAAAATACAGTGGTAACTTTTGCAATCTGCTACTTTTATACTTTAAATCCCACATACTCACAATTTGTTGATTCACACTGTGCCTGAAAAATCATATATGTCAAAAATATATGCTATATTAAACTCTATGTACTAAGAGTCAACCTGTTGAATGTATTTGGTTTCCAGAACTTCTATTGGAATTCAAGACCTATATTTGAAATTGAAGTATCCTCTACTTAGTTCACGTATCATTTCTATGTCATCATCCTAATACATAGTGAGTTAAACCCCCTCTCATATTGCTGGTTGCTGCGTTCTGTCCTATCTTCACCATTGCCAATAGACAGTGAAAGGTCAAATGCATTTCAGAGTATGTCTAGAAGCTCTGTCTCTGCTTCTTTCTCCCTCTGGCTCTCTCATCAGAGAAAAACAGTAGAGGCTTACTCAAATTAGTCAACAGCAGCCAAGATCTAAAGCCAAAAGGCTGCATTGACTTTCCTTATAAATCTGACAACTTTCAGACATACCTATAACGTAGGACAAAATGAGATTCCAGCCAGTGATAAAAGCCCAGATTTCACCAACAGTTACATATGTGTACAGATAGGCTGAGCCAGTCTTTGGGACACGAGCACCAAATTCTGCGTAACAAAGTCCGGCCATGACTGAAGCTAGGGCAGCTATGAGGAAAGAAAGGACAATACTAGGTCCAGAATCTGCTTTTGCAACTTCTCCAGCAAGGACATAAACACCAGCACCAAGGGTGCTTCCTACTCCTAAAGCGATAAGATCCACAGTTGATAAACAGCGGCATAGCTTTGAATCTTCAAGACTGTCCCCAGTGACAATTTTTCTTCTTAGCAGGCACCGAGCAAATGACAAGGCTGGGCCACCGGTCATGTTGGATGAAAAAGCCTAAAAATGAAAGAGATGACTGTAAAACAAAGAAACCAAAATATCATATTCAGATTCATACAACCATTTGTATGCATTGAACCTTGTTTTAACAGACTTAATGGAGGAGAAGGGTATCTTTAAACCCCAAATTTCTGTTACATCCAAATAGGATTTTAAATAAAATACTTGATATATTTTGTACAAATTTGAAATAGTAAGGTTTTGCTGTTCTGTACAACTATGGACAGACCCATATAATGTAGAGTCAGATTTTATCCATTGTGTCCAGAGTCTGCTAAACCAAGACCCATTTAATCAAAGGTTTGATATAGTTAAGAAAAAATACTTTACACACTATACTAAGAAACAGCACAAAATTAAGGGATTATTCTTACTTTCACTTACTTTCAGATCACTGAAAATATACCTAAATTATGATTATGAAATTGCATTTATTGTACTTCATAATGCTAACATGTTGAAGGTTAAGAAGACAACTGATGGATCAGCATTCAGTCTAATCTCTCCTATTACGGTTTTTCAAATTCACAACCTTTTCATAGGCAGTAATCCACTGTATCCATCCAAACAAGTCTCTCCCTACAATGTATGCATCCATAGATGGTCCCAAAAAACAACAGTGTGTGAAATGGCTTTAAGATCTGCTTTATTTGCAATTGCATTTGGAGATATATCACTGACAAAGAGAAAACTTTCTCAATTGGTACAGAAAGAGGAAATATTTATAATCCATAATGCCAAAGTCTTTCAAAATGGACCAGGCTAAAGGACCACATTATATGCATTACCAACATCTTGATTAGCTATATTCAACCATGTTACAATAATCTACTCTTTTTCATTGGGGGGGGATCAAAGAAAAATGTTCTCTATTAAGTCAACATATGCCTGCTTTCATGAGAGTCTTCATGATCTTGCTCCTTTCATCGAAGTGATGAAGCCCATGCTGCACATAAATGTTTTCTGATATACGCACACACACACCTGCCTCCTTTTCATCAGAATGTGATTACAAAACCACATATATTTTCTCTAAGATTATGAACAGATGATTTCTTTACCTGAATAAATTTAATTGGGTGGGTAAATGAGATAAAGTCTATATCACAATTATAACCTGAAAAGATTATGATTATACTACAAAATAGCTTATGTGTTCTTTTCTCTGGTGTAGCTTATAATAATATAATAAATTATAATATATAATTATAATAAATTTTAATAAATAGCTTATTATTGTAACTTTACCATTTAAGTATGACTAAAATAAATGTTATCGCCCTTAGCTATTATATAACCCAGTTATCGTAACAAGCTGAAATTAGAAGGGGACTTTGAGTCAATATTGACTCCTGGCAATTACATAAACTAGTCCATGAAGTTTTCTGGACAACATTTTCCAAAGTAGTTTGCCACTGTCTTTTTTCTGAGGATGAGATATACTGACTGGCCCAAAGTGGGTTTCCATACCTAAATCTGGATTAGAACTAAGATTTCAATCTTTCTAATCCAATGTCCTTAAACTGCTTAGCTACTGTTTTTTCTTTCTCCCTAGCACGGAACTTCCAAACATATAAAATAAATAATGCTGTTGCTTTCCATTTCCAAATCTTAGATACCTGCTCTCAAAAATAGCATTTGTAGCAAGAATTTTCTAGTATACAAAATAAATATCTTAAACTATAATCTGTAGCATCAATTTTTCAATCTCTTTTACTGGAACAGATTCTCATCCTTCCAGAATCTATTCCAAAGGATCCCACAATCCTGCAATAAGGAAGAAAACATGAATAGTAAAATATAACTGTACAAACACTCTCATAATTCTACATATAATTCTTTGCAAGGGAAGGCAATTAATGTGACTGTTTTATGGCTCTATGAATCAAGGGTGTTACTATAAAATGTGTATGATTAGTAAACATCTTTCTCCTTCCCATAATCCATCAACTTCTTTTAACAAAAGTTAGGTCCTAAGCATTCTCTTTTCCCATACCTTTCAACCTCACCAATCCCATTTTTAAGTTACAGGAGAAAAGCTAGTCTGAGGTACAGTATTTACTCACAAAGCTCATTTGTTAAGCTATTGTCTTTCTTACAGTTTTTACTAAATTGTTTGTACATTATAATACATTTATTGACCTTACTAAGTGCTACTATAAAATATCTATTATGTAATTGTAAAAAGAAATTCTCTCCAGTTAGTTTCACAGAGGTTAGTAAAACAGATTTCCAAGTAAATGTTCTTGGAAGTACAGTCTTCATCTACTAACATGAACTTAAAATGTTCCTTTAAAAAACACTGAATGTAACATTGTAAAAAAAATTCACAGAACTTTTAAATCATTCCAATAGTATCTTTGAATAAATTTAGCTGCAGCATACTTAGAGAAAATTTAAACTTCCAGGATTAAAACATTAATTTTTGCTTCTTTTGAATGTTTACATTACATAAAATGATATTATTAACATGCTATAGGTTACATTTCTAACCTACATTAATAAAAAAACATCATTTTTTAAAAAAAAAACACAAAAATTTTAACAGGGGCCAGCATTCCACATTCAGTGGCTGAGTGGAAGAGAACCTCCAGTAAAGTATTCTGTTTGTACTTTGTTTCAACATAGATTTATTTTGAGCCCAGTCTTTACTTACCTGACAATAATATTCAAGTTCTGTATTTCTCAGACACAGAGAGGGTAAGGAAGATGCAGGCTGCAGGAAGATTTTACTTAGATAACTGCGTTTTAAAAAATTGAAAGATTAGGTTGTGTGAAGCTGCTTGCCTTCAGGGGGGTGGAGAAAAATTAGCTACAGGTGATTGGATAATACAGAGCTTACCCACCTTTTTGGCAAACAAATAAAAAAGTTATGGTATTCATTTATATATTTTAAGAAACCACACCAGCTTCTTTTCCTGTTTAAAAAGCAATCTGGACATTTGTTAAATGTATGTTCACAAATAACAAACTAATAATTATGTAGATCTAATATTAGCATTGTAATTGATTGAACTGGTAAATCTGTAAACACTATGCAAGTTAGTCCAGCCTATGATTATGATCAAAAGAATGGTTTATGTATACTCAGGTGTGCCAAAACATGAAGATACATTTCTCATAGGGAGCAATGCAATGCTAAGACACTATCCCCTATGAACCACCACACTAATAATAAGGAAAATGTCAACACCATTAGGATTCAAACGATGAGGCTTGACAATTATCTTTCTTGATTGATGATCTCACATTCTCAGGCAAAACCTCATCACTTAAACAGACATGTAAACAGATCTTGACTTTTTCTGCATTAGTTTGCTTTCATAAATTACATTTCTAAATTAATTACAATTTTATTCAGGAGCCATTTCTGCTTACTTTTACCCAATGTTAACTTAATATCTATTTAAAATTTGAGAAGTTGCTCTTTTTACTATGGAATTGGGTAACTGGCATTTTTACAATACAGATATAAATGTAATAAATATATTCTACCTATTGCTAATTCAGAATGGAGATCTTCTGGCCAACTGGCTGGATTAGATCTTCCCAGCTAAACCTGTTTCACTTCTAAACGGACAGCAAAATGTTTATTTGCAGAAAAAGGAAGCTAATCCATTATTCTATTGCTATACAGCAGTGATGGCGAACCTTTTAGAGACCAAGTGCCCAAACTGCAACCCAAAACCCACTTATTTATCGCAAAGTGCCAGGGCTGCATCAGCATTGTGGTGCCCTCGGGGGGGGGGCGCACTGGGTGGGCATGGCTGTAGTGGTCATGGCAGACTGAGTGAGTGTGGCCGGGGCCAGGACAGCAGGGAAGATATTCATCTCTCATTCAGGAATAGTTATATAGATGTTCCACTTATATTTCTGCCAATGTACTGTTCTGGATTGGGGGCACTTAAACAGCAAAGCACAAAACAGGAAGTCAGATTAACCAATTAACATGCAGGATATGCATCTCCAAACGATGCACAGTTGGGATGTCGACAGGTCTGCAGCCATCTGCAACCTACACTTACCCATTAATCCCTTTGCAGTGTAGGCATGTGGTGATGCCTATGTGCAATTGCAGGCAATGCAAAATCAGCCTTAAGCTCTCACATATAACACAGGCATTATAGCTAATTATAGTTGTAGTTCCATAACATATGAAGAAAAGGATGTTGCAGAGTTCCTTGAATTAAGCTCAGTTTCTGAAGACTTCATGGATACATCTTGTAGTTTTCTTGGCAGCAATGCTAAAGTGGTTTCCTATCACCACTTTGTGCATTTTTTCCTCCTGACTTCCCAAAGGAGGTCATTCCTGGTGGTCTTCCATTCAATGCCAGCCAGATTAACATGGATTAGCAATTTCCAGAACAAACGGTCAGCTAGATGCTTTCTTCAACTGTCAGTACGACTATGGTTTTAGATTGGTAGAAATCCTTAAGACATCATTACAAATTGTACGAGGAACTCGAGATCCAGATTTGAACAAGCAATTGCAATGATCACACAAGATCTACCATGTCATGAAGACGTAAGTACAGTGAATGCAAGATAAGGATGAAATAGAAGAGCCTCTATTTTTTTTTACTAAGTTTTGTGTAAAGGAACCCCAGTAGTCACTAGTCATACTGACTGAGAATATGAGAACTTGAAGCCAACTTGGAAAAAGTTCAGAGAAGAGCAACTAAGATGATGAAAGGCCTGGAGACTAAAACATATGAATAGCTGCAAGACTTGGGTTTGGCTAGTCTAAAGAAAAGAAGAAATAGGGGTGATATGATAGCGGTATTCCAGAGGCTGCCACAAAGAAGTGGGGGTCAAATTATTTTGCAAAGCACCAGAGGGCAGGACAAGAAATAATGGTTGGAAACTGATCAAAGGGAGAAGCAACCTGGAATTAAGGAGAAAGTTCCTGACAGTGAATACAATTAACCAATGGAACAACTTGCCTTCAGAAACTGTGGGCACTCCATCACTGGAGGTTTTTAAGAAGAGACTGAACA